CAGGCTGGCTTTGAACCATAATCCTCAGATCTCAGCCTTCTGAATAACTAAGATTACAGGCATGAACCACAATCTTGATCAATGAAATGTACAAAGAGAAAGGTACAGAAAATAAAACCGACAATTTCTTACTCAATGCTTAGTCAGTGTTCTACTCCTGGTATCCTTAAACAGCAAGCTGGTTCTATGCCTTGGGCTATCTTAATTCCTAAGCCTTTTGCCTCCCAGACTAACTAGATATCCAAAAGTGGTAATGAGCTTTAATGCCTTAACTGTTCAGGCACTGAAAAACACCAAGGCTTTCAGCCCACTGATTTTAGTTCTGTACAACTTTGATCTGAAGATACTAGAAATTGGGATATACCTTTAACTTACAAAGAATGCAAACTAGCATTATGCTTACAACTTTATAAACAGGATCTAAGGTTATTAGAGTTGGAACTGAGTCTTCATTTCACTGGTATATTAGTATCTAAAAAGGCCAAGATTTAATCAGTTATTATCTGTAGCAACTCTCAATATGGGTTCCACAAGAAAATGCTGTAATTGCTCCCATGGTAAATAAAAATAAAAGGTTTGGAAGCATAGCTCAAATGGTAGAGCACCTGCCTTGTAAGCAAAGCCTTGAATACGAACTCTAGTAGGCCAAATCAAACAACAAACAAAAACTAAAAGAAAGAAATACATACATATCATTTATCACGGGGTCAGAATTTGTAAAACAGTAAGAGGTAAAGCGGAGCAGTTCAGTGTGAGGGTGCTTTTCCTCAGATCAGCCAAGTGAGCTTCCTCCACATCTCTGCTTCTATGGGCTTGTTGGTAAATGAATCACTGTGATGTTCAAAACTGAAACCGAGTATTACAGTGCTTTCTCAGCACCTGACTCCATCTTAAACCATGGGTATGTGCAGAATAAGTATCAGGAGGTGAAACCTCTGGTCAACATCATTCCTGAGGTCTCCAGAGAGCAGAAGGTGGGAAGGCACACAGACTACCCCTGCCCCAAGCCCTCAAACCTAGACCCTTACCAGACAATGCTCCTCGTTCTTCGGCATCGCTGTCACTGTCCACAATGTCATTATGTTTCTCGATGTCTGCCAAAGACTGGCCATAATGAGTTAGCTCTTCATCTTCATTTAGGTTGTAGATGTTTTTTTTTTCATGTTGTCGCTGAAAGGGGGAGAAGGGGGATCACTTTCCTAAAATAACCATTTATTTCCCAGCAAATTCTAATTTTTTCCATTGAAATATGACAATGTAGTTAAAACAGGCTTAAGAAGCCGGGCGCTGGTGGCTCACACCTGTAATCCTAGCTACTCAGGAGGCTGAGATCTGAGGATCGCGGTTCAAAGCCAGCCCGGGCAGGAGACTGTGAGACTCCTATCTCCAATAAACCACCAGAAAACCGGAAGTGGCGCTGTAGCTCAAGTGGTAGAGCGCTCGCCTTGAGCTGAAGAGCTGAGGGACAGCGCCCAGGCCCAGAGTTCAAGCCCCACGGCCGACCAAAAAAAAAAAAAACAGGCTTAAGATTACCTTGGATGATTTGAACAATTCAGATATAATCAGAACTCACAGAGAAATTAAATTTTTTTTCCTGGTGAGACAGGGACTTGAACTCAGGTCCTTGTACTAGATAGGCAAGGGTTCTACCACTTCAGGCACATCCTTAGCCCCATTTTATTTTAGTTATTTTTCAGATAGGGTCTAAAAGTGGACCTGACTGCAGTCCTATTTAGGCCTCATATGTAGCTACAATGACAGGCAGATGAGGTGTGGGCCTTGGTAACTTTTTTTCCCAAGCTAAGCTAGAACTACAATTCTTCCTCATGAGCAGCTGGGATTACAGTTATGCCCCACCATGCCTACTTCTCAGAAGGGAATTCTTCAATAAATCAATGAGCCAGCCAAGTGTTGGTGGTTCAAGCCTGTAATCCTAGCTTCTCAAGAGGCTGAGATCTGAAGATGTTTCAAAACCAACCAAAGAAACAAATCTGAGAAACTCTTATTTCCAATTAACCAGAATAAAGCCAGAAGTAGAGGTGTGGCTTAAGTGGTAGGGTGCCAACCTAGAGAAAATAAGCTAAAGAGCTGAAGGTCCTGAGTACAAGCCTTAGTAATCAGCAACCAAAAATAAAAAATAATCAATGGGCCCAACTAAGCTCCTAGTAAATCATGTGGTCTTTCCCCACTAGCAATGCTCCTCCATCTACTTGTCCTTCAGCTAACAAAGCTAGTTACTGCTCAGTTAAGAACTCCAGATTTCTTACTGTCATTTGCTCTGGGTAAGAGGTCCTTCCATCCAGTAATAGTTCCATTACCTCCCCTGGCCTAATCAGACAGGGTATAGCACTGGTATCTACACATGAAAGCCGAGGATCCACAAAACTATACAAGAACGAAGAGAAAGTTTTCTCCTTGGGTTATGTAAATTTTACAACACATGTTCTTCCATTTTTTTCCCCCCATACCTGTTGTTCCAGAGCAAATCTCTTCATCATCTTTTCCTCTGGGCTTATGTTGCTATTGTACTCTCCAAAGCGTTTATCTGTAAATACATTGGACTTATCTCTTTCTTTATACTCCTTTAGTAAAGTCTGGGTACGCTGAAAAAGAGTTCAGAAATAATGCTCACAAAAAATACTTGCAATCTCTACTAACTGGGACATCAGAATGGTGTACATTTAAAAATTCAGAGCTTATAGAAAGGTGCTTCCCCTTTGGAACCAAAGCAGAGTCTCAAGCTCCAGAACTTCCATTACTCTGCATGATACTGAGCAAACCTCCACTCTTTCTGGGTTCTGTCTCCTAATTTGTGAAGTGGCACTGCAAGGTCTAACTCAATAGGTTTTTGTGAAACATTAGGAATAAGAAAGTAGATCTCAATTACATAATAATAAGCAGTGCCCTGTGTTGTTAAAGTTCATACATAACCTGCTTCTGTCCACAATAGGCTTTCTCCAGTAAGGAAAGACCTTAAAGAGAAAATCCACTGTCTTAGTGATAACAGGATAATTAGTTCCTAAGTTTGTCAGTGATGAAGACACTCAACTGTTTTTCTAGTTGCAGCAGTAGCCTTACAATTTAAGATTTAAATGTTTACTTTGGGCTGAGGAGACCAGAGAAAGTCAGACTCCTTCCATCACGGGAAGGGGTTACTTGCCACTGAAGGTATTTCTAGGAAATGTTTAGCTGTGTCTTTATATGCGATGCACGGCCATAAAAGAAGTTTAGCAAGTAGGGGCATAGTCCACCCTTTAGAAAATCAAGAGGAACAGTATTTAAAGCATGTAACTCAAGAACTTACACCAAGGATCAGAATACTGGATATTCTCCCAGAAGCAGCAAGGAATGTTTATTATTATTATTCAAAAGTTGGTTATCTTTAAAGTTAAAATTCTACAAAGCAAGAGATGACGGAGGGGAGCAGGAAATGGCTGTTGCTCCCGCAACCTGGACCGATTGTGTCAGAACTTGTATTCAGTCCAGAAATTCTTATAGCTGCGAAGAGACTAAGAGGAGCTTGTATGTCAATCAGTGAGGGAAGCAACTGGTGCCAAGATGAAATCGTAACAGAAAACCCTCGGAATGATCCAATTCAGAGACTTTATAAGCCAGCCAGGAGTTTGATGGGGATCTGAATGTTTCTTGTATCGGCCTCAGGGATTCCTGGGTGCACAGAACGAGCCCGGCCAAGCGGAATGATAGGTAACCCAGGACGGGAGGGACATCCCATCGGGGCCTCCGGTCACTAACCCCAGGGCAGAGCCTCGGTGGGTCACACCTTCTTCGCCTCTACTCTCAAAAGCCTGGGAGGTCAGTCCAGAGTGGAGCCCCACCAACGACACCCCCTGCCCAGCTAGCCCGGACTTTGGGAGGCGCTCACTCTCTGGATTTGCACAGGACGAGCAGAACACTAGGCCGGAGCCACGAGGGCCGGAAAGACCTGAGAGACGGCACCGAGCGCCCCGTTTCAGTAGCCAACCAAGTGACAGCGACAAGGGCCTCAGGGCAAAGCCGTCAGACCTCCACCGAGGATCCCCGAGACCTCAAGGGATCACGACCGAGTAGAGCGCCCGTGCGGCGGCGGCGGCCGGGGTGGTGGGCCCGCTCACCTTCCGGAGGGCGCGCGCGCGGGCCACGCCGGGCAGCCCCACGTCGTGCCGCGTCTTCCGGCCGAGCACCTGGAACTTCTGCCGGTTGACTTTCACCTCGAAAGGGTTGAGGTTGGCCGGGCCTCCGCGCGCGCCCGCCGGCGCCTGGGCCCGCCTCCGCGCCCCGGCCCTGCCGGCCTTCCCCATGGCGCACGGCCCGCCGCGCCCGAGCGCCGGCGCGTCCCGGCTGCGGAGGGCGGGAAGGGGCGACCAGCAGCGAGCACCGCAGACGGCCACCGGAGCGCACGCGCGCGGCGCGAGGGAGCCGCCGCTATCACCCAGCCGGCGTGCGCCCAGACCTCGCGGTACCTCACGCGACCCGGAACACACCCGCCCGCGCCCGCCCGGCCGCGGCGCCGATAGGCCGGCTGACTACAACTCCCAGCAGGCCTTGCACCCGCGGCCGCCCAGCGCGAGGGCTTCTGGGAGCCGCAGTGCCGCGCGAGGCGCCGCTGCCTCCACCGGCGCCGCGGCGAGGGGAGCTCGGGCTCCCTCTACCGGAAAGTCGTTAGCCGGGGCCGGGCCGCTGTGGGAGCCGCGGGGGGCGGCGGCGGCGGCGGCGGCGGCGGCGGCGGCGGCTATAGCAGCCGCGGCCGTCGCCGCCGGCCCCCTGTGCGGCGGAGCCCGGGCGCTGAGGGCGTCGTTACGTGAGCTGGGCCGGGGCGATGGGGCGGAGAGGAGCGCGAGCGACCGCGCGGCGGCGGTGACCGCGGAGCCCCGCGGCGGCCGCGCCCCTCGCCCCGTCCGCTCCCCGGCGGGGGCCGGCGGAGAGTTCGCCCGCGCCCGGCCCGCGCGCCGACGCCGGCGCCGGCGCCCCTGGTGGCGGTGGTGGTGGCGGCGGCGGCGGCGGCGGCGGCGGCGGCGGCGGAGGCCGCGGTCCCGGAGGGCCCGCCCGGGGCCCGACGAGGAGCGCTGGAAAGCCGCGGCGGTGGCCTCCTCGTCGTCTCCCAAGCCCCCCCGGCCGCCGCCGCCTCGACCCCGCCGAGTCCCCCGGAGGCGGCGGGCCATGGAGCTGGAGAACCTCACGGCCAACACGATGCTGCTGAAGGCGCGCCAAGGTGGGCGCGGGCGGGACCCCGGGCGGGGACCGGGGCCCGGCCAGCCCCGGGGAGCCCTCGGGGACCGCCGAGCCGACCGACCCGGGGCCGGGGCCCGGCCAGCCCCGGGGAGCCCTCGGGGACCGCCGAGCCGACCGACCCGGGGCCGGGGAGCCACCTGGGCCGCCGGCCGGCGCTCGGAACGGTAGCTCTGGACGAGGGGGCCCTGCGCCGACTCGGGGGCTCCGGGGTCCTCGGTCCTCGGATGCCGTGGGGGCGCTGCGAGCCAGGCCGGGCCCACGCCAGTGTCACTCCTCCCTCGTCCTCCCCGCCCCCACCCACCCAGTCCTAATAGGACAAACCAGTGGCCACTCTGGGTCAGAACGTGGGACGGGAACGCCCACGGGGACAGGGAGTAGTGCCCAGTTACCCATCAAAGGCAGAGAGGGGACGGCGTGGTCAGTGCAAAGCCGGGCTTCGTGCGCTCCAGACTGTGGTCCTCTGCGAAACGGGAGGTGGGGAGCGGGGAGAACAGAGAACAAAGATTGTGCACGGTTACGGTTCCGAACAGAATCATGGTGGCAGCCGCGGTGGTGTGGAAAGGTGGACTTCAGAGCACGCGCACTCTCTTTACCCCTCTCTGGAGAAGAGACTGTGGCTGCTCCCTGAATCCCAAACCCGCTATGGAAGGGCATCGTCCCTGCTGGGAATCAGGATCAGATCACTTCTAGGTCCGTGCTTGTTTTTCCCCCTCTAACTGCATATCTGAGTATAGTGCTTTTTTTTTTTTCTTTTAAGCAGACTATAAATAAAGCACATTTTTCTTTTTCTCTTTTTTGGTGATACTGGGGTATGAATTCAGGATTTTATGCTTTCCAAGCAGACACAGTTAGAACCATGCCGCCAGCCTTTTCTGCATAGTTTACTTTGAAATAGGGTTTATGCCTCCTGCTGTAGCCGGGTTAACATGTGTGTCCTTTAGTGTCCAGCTGTTAGTTGAGAAGAGGGTCTTATACACTCTGTGCCTGAACTGGCCTGGAAACACCATACCCCTAATTTTAACCTCTTGAGTAACTAGGATTACAGGTGGTATCCATGGCACCTGATGTAGACTTCATTATAATGCTGCAGAGGTCAGATAGTGAGAAAGATATAAATGTTTGTTAAATGTTACGTGATGCTAGTATTTTCTTCCACTAAAAAACCTAGGATGACAATGGTAATTTGAAATAAATTTTTTTTTTTCCTTTTTTTGTGGGTCGTGGTGGTGCTCGAACTCTGGGCCTGGGCACTGTCCCTCAGCTCTTCAGCTCAAGTCTATCGCTCTACCACTTGAGTCACAGCGCCACTTCTGGTTTTCTGGTGGTTCATTGGAGATAAGAGTCTCATGGACTTTCTTGCCTGGGCTGGCTTTGAACTGAGATCCTCAGATCTCAGCCTCCTGAGTAGCTAGAATTACAGGTGTGAGCCACCTGGGCCCAGCTAATTGACTGTCTTTTCTAATTGATTACCATATGATTATTTTTTCCTTCTCAGAATGTAGTTGGAGGGAGGGGGCGTTGTTCAGTTTTGTTGCTGGAGATTTAAGCCAGGGCCTCCTCATATCCATAGGCTTGCCTCCTAGCACTGAGTTATACCTCCTGCCTAGATTTAGTTGTTGTTGTTTAACCATCATACATCCAGTGCTTGGTTTACATAATGTCCAGCAAATACAAGTATTTTCTGAATTAATATAACAGCTCTGTCAAATGTGATGTCAGCTTCTGTTTACAGACTTGGAAACTGAGGCTCAGCAGAGCTACTTCCAAAAGGTCAGCATAACATTACAGAGCTTCATCAAGCTAACTTCCAGATAAGACAAGTTATCAGTTTGAATTTTACTCACTGTGGTATCCAAACTATACAATCGAATAGTAAGGTATTAGTGACACTAATTCTACTTGGATATCTCTTCCTATGAAAAACTTTCCAAATATGACCATATTGATCATTTTCAAAGTATTTTAATTAAGAAAATCTGATAACTTCCCATTTTGCTGGGTATGATAGTACACCCTATAATCCTAACACTTTGGAGGCTAAAGCCAGAGGATCCAGAGTTCAAGGCCAGCCTGGGCTCTATATTGAGAAACTATAAAACAATGGAACAAATATAAAAATAAAACTTTTAAAGGAGTTTTAATAATTTTTTTTTATTTTAGGAGGATTTGGCAAAAAAAACGGTCGTAGTAGGAAATGGAGGGAAATGCTAAAGTTGCCCCCTATCAGCCAGTGTAGTGAGCTGAGACACGTCATCGGTGAGTAACAGTCCCTGCTTCTGTCTGGAGGGTAGGATTGGCATTGCATCATTAATTAGATTTTACTTTTATTTTTGTCGGTCATGGGGCTTGAACTCTGGGCCTGGGTGCTGTCCCTGAGCTTTTCAGCTCAAGGCTAGTGGTCTACCACTTGTGCTACACTCCTAGTTTTCTGGTGGTTCATTGGAGATAAGAGTCTCACAGACTTTCTTGCTGGGGCTGGCTTTTGAATTGCTATCCTCAGCTCTCAGCCTCCTGAGTAGGTAGGATTACAAGCGTGAGCCACCAGTGCCCAACAGATTTTACTTTTTCTTGAGCTCCTTGTTTTAAACATTTTATGATAAATTTTACTTACATGAGCTTTCTAATCTGTAGTTAGTTATTAAGTATATCACTATTTTTGTTTATCTTTTTTTTTTTTTTTTTTGCTTAAGGCTAGTGCTTTTCCACTTGAGCCACAGCTTCATTTCCTGCTTTTTTTGGTAGCTAAAGGACTTTCTTACCCAGGCTGGCTTTGAACCTTCATCCTCAGATCTCAGCCTCCTGAGTAGCTGGGATTATGAATGTGAGCCAGAAGCGCTTGGCACTGATTCTTTTTCATTAGAAGCATTCTTTTAGGGATTAGGTAGGAGCTCTTCCAGCCTCTCTTTAAGGTAGAATCTTGCTATATACTTGGGCCAGCCAGGCTGCAGTCCTGCCACCACACCAGACCACACTACACCCAACCATTGGTTGAAAAGGGAGTCTTACAAACTTCTTATTTTATTTTATATATATATTTTTGGGTCTGGTCATGGGGCCTGAACTCTGGGCTGGGCACTGTCCGTCAGCTCTTCAGCTCAAGGCTAGCGCTCTACCACTTGAGCCACAGTGCCACTTCTGGCTTTTTTTCTTTTTGCTTATGTGGTGCTGAGGAATCGAACCCAGGGCCTCAGGCATCCAAGGCAAGCGCTCTACCACTGAGCCACCTTCCCAGCCCAGTCTTATAAACTTCTATGCCCAGACTGGCCTCAGATCACAATCTCCTATGTCTGCCTCTCAAATATCTGGGATTACAGGCTTGAGCCATGGTGCCTATCTTAAAAATGATTTTTTATGTTGTTGTTGTTTTTTTTGCCAGTCCTGGGGCTTAAACTCAGGGCCTGGGCGCTGTCTGTTAGCTTTTTTGCTCAAGGCTGGTGCTCTATCACTCAAACCATAACTACTTTCTCCAGCTCTTTTTTGTATGCATCTGCATCACAATCATAGTTTTTCCACTAGGAAAAACTGAGATTATACAGTGTGTACCACTGTGCCCAGCTTCTTTGATTGAAATGAGTCTCATGGACTTTTACTGCCTTGATTGCCCAGTAAACTATCACCCTGTCAGTCTCAGCATCTGCATAGGTAGTATGACAGTCATGCACCCCTGTACCCAGATAAGAAGGGGTCACAAAAAGTCTTTTTGCCCAGGCTAGCCTTCAACCACAATCCTCTTGATCCCAGCCTTCTTAGTAGTTAGTAGTACAGGCACAAGCCACCACATACTTCTGCCTGAATATTTTGAATGTTCTTGATAACACAGTTTAAATTAGTAAACAGAACAATAGTTTTTAAAAAATAATACTGTGAATACTATTTTTTACTTTTATTGTATCAAGTGAAAACAGTAAGATTCAGAACAGCACTTAGTGGATTATAACCACAGTATTTGCTTGTTTTTCATTTCCTTCTTTACCCAGAAAAGGATTTTAACAGTCTTTGTGAAAAGCAGCCAATAGGAAGACTTCTCTTCAGGAAATTCTGTAGTACAATTCCAGATCTAAAGCTATGTATTGAATTCTTGGATGCAGTGGTAAGTAGTTCATTTCAGTGTTGAACTGCCCCATCTGGGTTTTTGAATTAGACCTAGATGATGATATAGCAGTAGATAAACTAGTTATATGGTGTCATATTATCTTTTTAGTCTGGAAATCACTTTAATATGAAGTGATTTGTTTCATGTGGCATTTTCAGGTGCTGGGACAATCTCATCACTAGGTGACTGAATCATGATGCTTTTATTTATATGAAGGGTAACAGGCTAATACCTGAAAAGCACCCTTGCTGGCAGGGTGCCATATTATTTTTTCTATTTGTTGGTCATGGGGCTTGAACTCTGGGCCTGAGTGCTGTCTCTCAGCTCTTTAACTCTACCACTTGAGCCACAGCACCACTTTTGGTTTTCTGGTTGTTCATGGGAGATAAGAGTCTCATGGACTTTCCTGGCTTTGAACCGAAATCTTCAGATCTCAGCCTTCTGATTAGCTAGGATTACAGATGTGAGCCACTGGTGCCCAGTGGGGTGCTATATTCTTCTTTGGCAAGATCCTATATACCTAAAACACTTTTAACCCAGAAACATATGGAAGGGGTCATGTTACTGTAATCGTGATACTCATGAACTGACATTTTGAATTGAAACCACTTTGTGCAACTACTTAAGATAATAATAGTGATAATGATGATGAAGGTGATCACCTTGTATGGAATGTAATTTCCTTATAGGTGAATAGTTTTATGTTTCAAAATGTATATGATGGGCTGGGAAGGTGGCTCAGTGGTAGAGTGCTTGCCTTGCATGCTTGAGGCCCTGGGTTCGATTCCTCAGCACCATATAAACAGAAAAAGCCAGAAGTGGCGCTGTGGCTCAAGTGGTAGAGCGCTAGCCTTGAGCTGAAGAGCTCAGGGAGAGCGCCTAGGTCCAGCGTTCAAGCCCCATGACTGACCAAAACAAATGTATAGGACTATCGCTGGCAAATCTAGAGTTTTAAAACTATGAAATTCAGAAATAATTGATCAGATCCTGGGGCTGGTGGCTCACACCTCTAATCTAGCTACTCAGGAGGCTAAGATCTGAGGATTGTGGTTCAAAGCCAGCCCAGGCAAGAAAGTCTGTGAGACTTGTATCTACAATTAACTAAGGGAAAACCAGAAGTGGTATTGTGGCTCAAAGTGTTAGGACACTAGCCTTAAGCAGCAGAACTCAAGGACAGCACCCAGGCCCTAAGTTAGAACAAACTACCAATAAAAGAGAGAGAGAGAGAGAGAGACTTGATCAGGCTGAGTCCTCGTGACCCAGCCCGTAATCCTAGCTACTCTTAGGAAGCTGAAATCTGGAGGATTGCATTTTAAGGCCGGCTCTGGCAGAAAAGCACATAAAATTCCATTTCCAGTTAACAAGCAAAAATGTCGTACTGGAGCCGGGCGCCAGTGGCTCACGCCTGTAATCCTAGCTACTCAGGAGGCTGAGATCTTAGGATCGAGGTTCAAAGCCAACCCCAGAAAGAAAGCCTGTGAAACTCTTATCTCCAGTGAACCACCAGAAAATTGGGAGTGGCACCATAGCTCAAGTAGTAGAGTGCTAGCCTTGAGCTGAAGAGCTGAGGGACTGCACTCAGGCCCAGAGTTCAAGCCCCACGAACCCACAAAAAAAAAAAAAAGTCATTTCAACCCTGGAGGTATGGTTGAAATGTTAGAGCACCAGCCATAAGCAAGAAACTGGGCAAGAATTCAAGCCCCTAAGTTCAAGCCCTGGTACTGGCATAAAAATAAGTAACTGATTTGTAGAAAATGGGTAAATTCAGCAGAAAGGCTGAATATATTGAGTGTTTATTCATATTTCCTCAAATAGCTTTTTCTTTTCTTTTTCTGCCGGTTCTGAGACTTGAACTCTGGGCCTGGGCACTGTCCCTAAGCTTTTTGCTCAAGGGGAACACTTTTGTTTATTTGCTTCCTATTCTTGAGATTTCCCTATCGCTTTCCTCTCTGACGTATTATATTTTTATTATTATTATTATTTTTTTTTTTGGGTTTGGTCGTGGGCCTGAACTCTGGGCCTGGGCTCCGACCCTCAGCTCTTCAGCTCAAGGCTAGCGCTCTACCACTTGAGCCACAGTGCCACTTCTGGCTTTTTTTTTCTGCTTCTGTGGTGCTGAGGAATCGAACCCAGGGCCTCAAGCATGCAAGGCAAGTGTTCTACCTCTGAGCCACCTTCCCAGCCCTATTTCTCTGCTTTTATTGCTCAGTTCTACAGTGCTACTACTTAAGCCATGCTCCCACTTTGGATTTCTGGGCTTTTGTTTTTTGTTTTTTGTTTTTTTTTTTGGAGATAATCTCTCTGACTTGTCTACCCCTGGCTGTCTTCAAAGTCAGATCTCAGCCTACTTAGTTGCTAGGGTTATTTATAGTCTTGAGTCAGGGGTGCCCAGCTTTTTAAATTTTGGGTGTAGCCTTTTACTCAGAGCTATCCTTGGACCTCAGTTATCCTGCTTATAGCTTCCTGTATGGTGGGATCACAATATGAGCCACCACACATAGCTTATTTGTTGAGATGGAGTCTCTAACTTTTTCCCAGGCTAGTCTTGAACAGTAATTCTTCTAATCTACACCTCTTGAGTCATTGAGATTACAGAAGTGAGCCATTGAGCCTAGCCTCCAAAGTAGTTTTTATCATTTATTTAAATAGCTGCTTAAATTTGAGGAGGAGAAGCTGTTATGATCATTAAAGAAAACCATGAGCCCAACACTGGTGGCTCACTCCTGTAATCCTAGCTACTCAGCAGGCTGAGATCTGATCAAATCCAGGCCTGGCAGGAAAGTGAATCCCAGAAAACCAGAAGTAGCACTGTGGCTCAAAATGGTAGAGTGCTAGCCTTGAGCAAAAGAGCTCAGGGACGGCCCCCAGGCCCTGAGTTCAAGTGCCATTAGGGAGGAGTGGCAAGAGGGTAAAGAAGAAACTTTTTCCATTGGACTCTGAAGAGAAAAGTCTGGGTAAGAAAGATGAGAGAATATTTGGAAGAGTAAAACTAAGGAAGAAGAAAAGTAGGGCAAAACAGAAAGGCAACAGAGACAATTAGGAGATAGTTTGCAGCTCTAGCCCTGTGCCCTTGGTCCGGGGAGAGGGGAGCTGCAGCCTCTACCATAAGGAAACCTGGAGGCATCTATGATCCACACCTCTCCCAAATCTTAAACCCTGGTACCAGGACTTTATGGGACAGTCGCTTCTCCAGTATTGCAGGCTCACATCAGACAAGATAAAGTGCAGAGGATATGGTGGGGGTAAGGTGGAGAGGGGATGAATTTATTCAAAGCACACTGTATACATGTGCATATATGGAAGCACCACTGTGAAACCTTCTCGTATTGCAAATGTATGTTAACTCAAAAACAAAAGACATGAAATGTGGTAGATCGAACATGCAGTCTCACATGGCTTCCAGCCGCCAGTTCCATGACAAAGCAGAGGAAAGGGATTCACCCGAATGCCCCCACCCTTCAAAAGCCTCAGACTTGTGATAACAGCCAAGGTCTGTCAGTTTCAGAGTAGCATCAGGCACAACCAGTGGCATACCTGGTGAGTGCTGTGTGTGAAAATAAAAGCTGTGTGCATGGGTGCAGGAAGGGTAAACCCAGGTGTCACCTTTTCCCCCAGAGACCTTCCTTGAGGTCTATCTGTCCAACACCTCTCCATGACAGAAGTATCCTCCAGGACCAAAAGTGGATCTCAGAGCCAGAGAGGCTCTTTTTGGTCCCACAGTGTATAATACTCTAGAGTTCTGTGTGCTGAACCAGGTACCTGTATGGTAAGCTTTTCATATTTGAAGAGTAGTTACTGGAGCTGTGTGGATGGTGACTCCAACACCATCTTTCTGCACAGATACACCTGCTGGCCTAAATGGCTAGTCTGGAGTGGCTCACACTCCCACAAACTACCCTCCCAGAGCTTTGAGGACCTTCAGGGTTAGATCCTTTTCTGGTAAGGGTGTAAGCCTCATACAGGATAAAATTTAGTTTCATTCCATTTGGTCAGGACACACCAGACCCAGAAAGCCTTTCAGAGTTGTCAGGAGCTAATGAATACGTGATTACCTGTGTCAGCTGGTGGAGGATACCATTTGTTCTTTATGTGTGGATGACTGTGTACATGCATGGAAAAATCACAGGAAAAGCTCCTCATGTAGATTACCTCAAAATAACAAGACTTACCCTGGGAGCTCTGGTTCCAGCTCTCCAAGCAATCCATGGACATTTGTTAAGCGTTATTACCTAATGCATTTTACTTAGACATAGGTAATGGCTACAAATATAATGAAGCATGGAGAGATGATGGAAATGATTGTTCTACTATTTCATCAACTCCCTTTTAAAAATTAACAAGCCAGGCGCTGGTGGCTCACGCCTGTCATCCTAGCTACTCAGGAGGCTGAGATCTGAGGATTGTGGTTCAAAGCCAGCCCGGGCAGGAAAGTCTGTGAGACTCTTATCTCCAATAGACCACCAGAAAACCGGAAGTGGCGCTGTGGCTCAAGTGGTAGAACACTAGCCTTCAGCTGAAGAGCTGAGGGACAGTGTTCAGGCCCAGAGTTCAAGCCCCATGACCAACAGGGAAAAAAATTGTTTAGGGGTTGGGAATGTGGTCTAATGGTAGAGTGCTTGTCTAGCATGCATGAAACTCTGGGTTCTATTCCTCAGTACCACATAAACAGAAAAAGCCAGAAGTGGTGCTGTGGCTCAAGTGGTATAGTGCTAACCTTGAGCATAGAGAGGCTCAGGGACAGAGCCCCAGGCCCTGAGTTCAAGCCCCAGGACTGGCAAAAAGAAAAATTAACTGTTTATATGGGAGTGTAGCTCATGGGTTCAGTATGGTGCGGTGAATGCTTAGCATGTGTAAGCCCCTGGAATCAGTCTTAATTTTAATTTCTAAATTGTTGTTATAAAGGTGATGTGTAGTAAGGTTACAATTACATAACTCAGATAAAGAGTACATTTCTTTTATTTGTTTTTTTTTTTTTTTTTGGTCGGTTGTGGGGCTTGAACTCTAGGCCTGGGAGTTGTCCCTGAGCTCTTCAGCTCAAAGTTAGTGCTCTACCACTTGAGCAACAGCACCAATTACAGTTTTCTGGTAGTTAATTGGAGATGAGTCTCATGGACATTTCTGCCTGGGCTGGCTCTGAACTGCGATCCTCTGATCTCAGCTTCCTGAGTAGCTAGGATAACAGACTCCCAGCCTAAGAGTACCTTTCTTTTTCAACAATATTTCCTTTTCCCTCACTCTGTCCCAGTTTTTCCCACCCATCCCACCCACAGTTGTATAGTTCATTTTTAACATAGTATTTGGACAGTTTTATTTCCTCATATTTCTTAGATTTTCAAAGAACAGCCATCGAGGTATATGATCAGTAGAAGTACTCTTTGGTTCTGAGGGTGTAAAGCCAATTCCATAGATCACAGAATTGAAACAATATGAAACATTGGTGGAAGAAGACAAATAACATTCTCCTTTTCCCATCACCTCCAATCAGGCAGAGTATGAAGTCACCGTTGATAAGGATCAGGAAGGTTGTGGACTAGCAATCTTGGATAGATTCTTCAGTAAGGAGGTAGGCTTTGTTCTTTAGAATAAATTACTTTTTAATAATTGAAGTGTGTAGATATTTTTAATTTTGATAAGATAAAACAAACTAAAAGTCTTAATTCCTTTTATTGTTAGTTTTTTGTGATACTAGGATTTGAACCAAGGATCCCATTCTTGCATAGGCAAATGTCCTACCATTTGAGCCACCCCTCCAACCCTTAAATTTTTGTTCTGAGTCAGTGAGGAAATCAGTAATTAAATCCCAGATGGGAGCCAATAGCTCATGGCTATAATCCTACCTATTTCAGGGGGCTGGGATCTGAGGATCACAGTTCAAAACCATCCTAAGCAGACAAATTTGGGAGACTGTCATCTCCAATTAACCAATAATAAGCCAGAACCAGAGGCATGGCTCAAGTGGTAGAGTACTAGCCTTGAGTGAAAAAGTCCAGCCAGAGCATGAGGCCCTGAGTTCTAACCCTAGTACTGGTCCACCTGGCGCTCGCCCATGTGCGCGCATTCACACACACACACACACACACACACTATAATATAAATAAATTATTGGGGCTAGGAATGTGGCTTAGTGGTGGAGTGCTTGCCTAGCGTGCATAAAGCCCTGTGTTCAATTTCTCAGGACCACATAAAGGAAAAAGCCAGATGTGGGGCTGTGATTCAAGGGTTAAGAGTGCTGGCTTTGAGCAAAAGAAGCTCAAGGACAGTGCCCAGGTCCTGAGTTCAAGCCCCAGGACTGGAAAAAAAAGGAAGAAATTCCTTAGAAAATTGTTTCAACCAACTGCTTTGGCTTTTATTTCCTATACCTTATCTTTTGCTTTTTTGAAGTAAGTAGTAGATTCTGTTTATGATTAGGAAACTTTGAAATCACTAATTGTTATGTGTTTGGTTTGGGCTATATGGAGAACTCCAAATCGACTCTATCAGAAATTTCTTCAGAAACTGTGAAATACTGTAGAGGGAATCTGAATCAGAAGCCCTCCAAGAACATCTTTGAGGAATGTACCAGGTAAGTGGGTCATAGTAGCCCTTTACCTACTCTCTGTGGATAACTCCAAGAGTCAAAGGTTTCATTGTGTGACATAAGTTCTTTTTTTTTTTTTTTTTCAAATTTTTTATTGTGATTAAGAGGTTACATAATTCCCCAAATTTCACAGTATTGTGGGATAGTGATACTCAGTTAAAGTCACAAACACATTCTAACTTTCCTGGAGTGAAATAAGTTCTTTTTTTTTTTTTTTTGGGTCCGGTCGTGGGGCCTGAACTCTGGGTCTGGGTGCTGTCCCTAGCTCTTCAGCTCAAGGCTAGCGCTCTACCACTTGAGCCACAGCGCCACTTCCGGTTTTTTTTTTTTTTTTTTTGCTTATGTGGTGCTGGGGAATCGAACCCAGGGCCTCAGGCATGCAAGGCAAGCGCTCTATCACTGAGCCACCTTCCCAGCCCCTGAAATAAGTTCTTATCAGAGTACTTTCTAAATTACAGCATTACCTTTCACTAATTTTGTGTGGTAAGAGTAAATGAGTTATAATCACATGTACATAAGTGACATACTGAAGAGTGCCCATTGTTGAGCTCTAGTATTTTTATATCCCTGTTATGGCTCTGGTCCATCATAGTAGTTGTGGTTTTAAATTTTTACTCTAGTAGCAATTTGGACTAGGGGAGATGGTTTCTAAAAGATTGGTCATAGAAGCTCTTGCTGTTCAGATGATGGTGATCCAGACCACGATATGACAGTGATAATGAAGATAAGCAAGTGGACTTTAGAAACATGTAGGAGGCTGGTGGGCAACCAAAGACTGCATGGGTTTTGGGAATATAAGAGTCATCAAGCTGAGCAAAAAACAACTGAATCTTTCCCTAAGTTAGTAAAAGTTTGAACTCAGGGCCTTAAGCTTGCTTGTCTTGCTTGTTCCTTGAGGACTCTGCCACATGTGCCACACCTATAGTGCAGCCTTTTTTCTGTGTGTGTGCATGCACACATGCATACACGTGCATGTACACACATGTTCACCAGTTCTGGGGCTTGAATTCAGGGCCTGGGTGCTATACCTGGGCTCTTTTTGCTCAAGGCTAATTCTCTACCACTTGAGAGTCTCATGGACTTTGCTGTCTGGGCTGGCTTTGAATCGTAATCCTCAGATTTCAGTTTCCTGAGTAGCTAGGGTTACAGGCGTGAGCCACTGGGCCCTGGCCATTCAGCTTTCTGATGGTTATTTTGGAGATGATGTGTTACAGACATTTCTACAAGTAATTTACTAAGGGTCTCAGTGTCCTAGGCAGCTTTCCTGTGCAGTTGTCACGTGGTGGGTCTGCATCTGGAATCTGTGATACTTTTAATAATACAGCCAATATTACAAAACAAACAAAAGGTAAAAAAACAAGCCAGGTGCTTTTCCATGCTTACACACCCTTCTTCCTTCATCTGGGTAACTTATTCCAAAAACGCCACATTATTTTCATATTCAGAGTAGGTGTTCTATAAAAACTGTATGTCGTAGCTGCTACCTTCTCTCACAGCTCTCATCAGTCATTAACTGAGCCATCAGATTTCAGGAGGTGATTGAGTTTGACATTGTTCCTTGAGCACCAGCACAGAACCTGTTTCTACTCAGCATTTATTGAGTAGTAAGCACTCAGAAATAAGCAGCAAAGCTGTATTCTGTCCCTCATCTATTCCCCAAGTAAGAATTTTTTTGCTTCTTTAAAAACAATAAGTAACGTTAAAAATAATATTTCCTACCATATGGCTATTAGCATGCAGTTGTGCACCTTTGTAAAATATTGACTTCTTTGTAAAACATACAGGCACATAGCTTTGAATGCCTTAAAAGTATTGTGTTTCTACTGGTATATTATTTATTACATAATTTTTCTCCTCTGTATATGTAAAAAATAACCATTAACTTTGGGAAAATAAACAGGATTAATTTCTTTTTAATTCTTTTTTTTTTTTTTTTTGTCGGTCATGGGGCTTGAACTCTGGGCCTGGGTGCTGTCCTTCAGCTCTTCAGTTTAAGGTTGGTGCTCTACCACTTGAGTCACAGCACCACTTCTGGTTTTTTGAGCAGTTTATCGGAGATAAGAGTCTCACAGACTTTTCCTTCCCAGGCTGGCTTGGAACCGTTATCCTCAGATCTCAGCCTCCTGAATAGCTAGGATTACAGGTCTCAGCCATCAGTGCCTGGCTTCTGTTTTCACTAACAGCAGTAGAACATAGTGTACGCTTGTATAATTGCAAATTCTATATACTGAATTGTGTGTAATGATTGGTTTTCCCATATTCAAAGCTTGTTAATGCTCTAAAGCACCCTTATCTTCAGATTTTTATGCAACAAATGTTTGTAATTGTATAAATCTTTTCCTAGAATTGTCCGTAACTATTTGAGTTCAAAACCATTTGAAGAATACCAAGAAAGCTCATATTTTTCTCGATTTTTACAATGGAAATGGCTGGAAAGGTAGGTTTTAACTTAAAACTCAATAAAAGCAAGTAGTAATTCTCATAGTGCATATAATGGATTTCTGCTTTTCCATTTGTCAGAATACTACTAGAAATCTTGAGTTACATGTGGTATTTTTCACACAAAATAATTATATTTGGCAGTATAAGGTTTTGAACTTTGGGCCTCTTTAATAGGTAGGTATTCTACCACTTAAATCATGCCCCCAGTCCTTTTTAGTTTTAGTTATTTTGGAATAGGGCCTTTTGGTGTTGTTGGTGTTTTGTTTTGTTTTGCCTGGTCTTAGACCTATGGACTCCTGTGCAGCATGAATCACAGATAGCCACCATGTCCAGACATGCTTGGTGGTTGAGATGGAGTTTTGTCCAATTTTTTTGCTCAGCCTGGTCTGGAACCATGATCCTCCTCATGTTTCTACCTCCTGAGTAGCTAAAATTACAGATATCTACCACTATACCCAACCCCAAGAATTATTAATAGATATATTCAGTGAACTCCATATTCAGTGAACTTCTTAAAATGACAGTTAATTCTCTTAGTATAATGGTTAGAAAATAATATCCTGGATTTATAATACAATAATATAATATGATGCAGTGGTTAAGACTTTGCAGACTAGGCTACTGCTCAGTTTCTCACAAGTGGCTTATTAGCCTTTATGATTTTTAAATCCTCCTTCTGTACAAATGACCTGGGAAATGAGTGAAAATGCTTAGCTCAATATTTGATGCACAGAGTATCTCCAAAGTGTCAGCTGCTGCTAGTATTATTATGATTACTATTGCTAAAATTATTATTGGGTGATTAAATTTTCTATTGTAGTTTGTACATATCTTTTGGGCATTAGATAAGCATCTTTGAGTCTTTTTCCAAGGGACAGTGTGCTGTATTTATGTCAGTGTCCTTTGGATTGTTTTAACAGGCTAAAAGGTATGCCTAAGACTGTGCCATGAGTTGTAAATGTGAATATATTTTAGTGTGGGCTGCTGGTATCTTTGTCTTTAGTTGGAAAGAATAATTGGACTGTTATATATCTATGTCTGTTTTCAACAGACCTTTTTTTGTGTGTGTGAAAATACCGTTCAGAGGGGTTACTTTCAAGAGATTTTAAATGTACTTATTCCTCTCCGTGCAAATCGGAGATGTTCCACCAGAGCAAGTGATGGTCCCTCAGCTTGGACACCTTGGTCCTAGGCACTCCCTTTGAGCAATATGGGTCAAGAAATGTGGCTAGGTCAAATAAATAAGCCCACATGAAAGTTAGATAGATTTTTCTGTTTTAAAGTGTCAGTGTAATATGTGACTTGAGTTTTTTTTTTTTTAATTGACTAGGCGGCCAGTAACAAAGAATACATTTAGATATTACAGAGTTCTAGGAAAAGGCGGATTTGGAGAGGTGAGTACTATGTGCCAATGATTAGCACTTCTGATCTAGGTGGGTAAAAGGCAAGGTCATAGAAAATGGTAAGTCATATGTACAGCGTCACCTTACCAGTACATTTATTTCTTCACTGTGTACTTTGGACGTAATTTTAGCCATCCTTTAAAAGAAAGTTGTGGGTTTTGTTGTTGCTGTTGTTACTGTTTTGTCAGTCATGGGCCTGAACTCTCCCTCAGCTCTTCAGCTCAAAGCTAGCGCTGTACCATTGAGCCACAGTGCCACTTCTGGCTTTTTACTGCTTATATGGTGCTGAGGAATCGAACCTAGGGCCTCATGCATGCAAGGCAATCACTCTGCCAATGAGCCACCCTCCCAGCCCCAAAACAGTTGTTTTTTAGAGTTTGATATTCAAGTTCAGGCAATTTGGATTGAAAGATTATGGCTTCCCTATTGTGGAACTTCTGTTATTTCCATATTTTAGTACTAGCTTTAAAATTTATGCAGTACAAAGTATTTTGTTTTGTTAATAATGGAAAGGGATAGCTATGTTGCACAGGTTGATTCCAAATTCCTAAACTCAAACAGTCCTCCTATAGTCTCCCAGGTATCTGGGAGAAAGGAAAAAGCATTTGGAAGTCCATAGGTTTCATTTTTATCGCCTGAGGGAAAGAAAATAAAAATCCAAAGGTGTTCAAAATGTGTCAATTTGGAAAAATCCTAGGGAAATGCCCCATAGATTCATGAAAGGTAGTCTTTTTTTTTTTTTTTTTTTTTGTCGGTCGTGGGGCTTGAACTCTGGGCCTGGGCACTGTCCCTCAGCTCTTCAGCTCAAGGCGAGCGCTCTACCACTTGAGCTACAGCGCCACTGCCGGTTTTCTGGTGGTTTATTGGAGATAGGAGTCTCACGGTCTCTCCTGCCCGGGCTGGCTTTGAACCTTGATCCTCAGATCTCAGCCTCCTGAGTAGCTAGGATTACAGGCGTGAGCCACCAGCGCCCGGCAAGGTAGTCTTTAAATATGATAGCATGCAGTCTTTTCAGGTGATTTAAAGAGATGTTAATGATCTCATCAGTTATCTGGAGTGGCATACTCAGTCCGAGTTTATAACTCCCCAACAGAAACAAACATACAGTGTTTAAGCTTAGAAGGAGGTTATACTTCAAAAGCAAAAGCCTTCGGAATTGCTGTAAAGTTGATTACGAAGCTGACCTAAGAGGTATTGCACTATAAGTGAGGTCTGTTTCAGATCTGCATTTTAACATGGTAGGAAATTGGACAGCATGGTCAAAGTCATCCCTTGGGGAGCCATAGAAGTATGCCTCAGACTCCGTTCTGGATTCCTTTGCAGGATATCCAGCACAGTGCACTAAATGCAACTGAGCATCTGCTTAGTAAGAATAAGGAGGCCCTCAAACCCTAGTACTGCCAAGAAAGAGAAAGAGGTAGAAAGAGAGGTACAAATGTACTGCTATAATTGTAGGAAAATGACCAAACAAAATTTGGAATAGCTATATTTTAGGAGAATATGTAATTTTAATTATATTTTTTTCTCATAAAAATCTAAAACAGCTGGGCACCGGTGGCTCACACCTGAAATCCTAGCTATTCAGGAGGCTGAGATCTTAGGATCACTGTTCAAAGCCAGCCCCGGCAGGAAAGTCCATAAGACTTTTATCTCCAATGAACCAACAGAAAACCAGAAATGGTGCTGTGGCTCAAGTGGTAGAGCAGTAGCCTTGAGCTGAAGAGCTGAGGGACAGTGCCCAGGCCCAGAGTCCAGGCCCCACGAACACACACACACACACACACACACACACACACACACACACACACTCACACACTGCACACACATACACACACACACAGTACCCAGGCTCAGAGTTCAGGCCCCACGAACACACACACACACAAACACAAACACAGTGCCCAGGCCCAGAGTTCAGGCCCCACGAACACACACACACACACACACGTGCACACACACATACACACACACACACACCTGGAAGTGGTGCTGTGGCTCAAGTGGTAGACCGCTAGCTTGAGTACAAAGAGGCTCAGGGACAGTGCTCAAACCCTGATTTCAAGCTTCTCTACCAAAAAAATTGTGTGTACATACCTTTTTTTCTTAAATTAGGTTTGTGCCTGTCAAGTACGAGCTACAGGAAAGATGTATGCCTGCAAAAAGCTTGAAAAAAAGAGAATAAAGAGGAGGAAAGGTGAAGCTATGGCTCTGAATGAAAAAATTATACTAGAAAAAGTGCACAGTAGATTTGTGGTAAGTATTTTTACCATCCCTATGTAGTGCTGAACCAGCAGCACTCTGTCAGACCTCCTGCATGCTCTTCTTCATACCCTAGGATCACTCATTGCCTGGTTTATGTGAGTTTATGGGGGACTTTTGCTCTGTAGTTTTATTTTTAGTCTCAGCCTTCTGCCTCATTTGGATCTTGCACAAGACAGCACTGCTCATCCTATTTCTAAGTTGTGCTTTGTGAATCTGTTGCTGCCCTCTTTCCCATTCTGTCAGTCATTCTTCACACCTTCAGCTTTAGAGCATCTTGATGTTTGCTGAACTTACGCCAGGTGTTCTGCCATCTTCATCGTGAGCAGGTAACTTTGATGAGCTTGAAAGATCTTTCTCCAGGCTTCCTCATGTAAGCCTCCTCTCTGACCTCATTTTTCTCCTATCTTTTTGCCTTTTTTGACAGCTGCTGGCACATTTACTACCATATTTCAATTGTGTACTCCCCTCTCCCCCTTTTTTTCTGTCAGACATGGGGCTTGAACTTATGGCTTTGGCCACTGTCCCTGAACTCGTTTGCTCAAAGCTAGTGCTCTACCACTTGAACTGCAGCACAACTTCTGGTTTTCTGGTGGTTAATTGGAGATAGGAGTCTCCAGGACTTTCCTGCCTGGGCTGGCTTGGAACCACGATCTTCAGCTCTCAGTCTCCTGAGTAGCTAGGATTATAGGTGTGAGCTACTGGCACCTGGCTAGTTCCTCCATTTTAACCTTCACTGTTGTAGATAAGGATAATACATGGGCAAATGAGTCAAAGACATCCTAGAAAAGTGAATTCAGTCTTTAAGTAATGCCTTGTGTGGTGTGATTCTCATCTCCAAACCTAGTTTCTCTCCCACCCAGATGCCTATTTCCTACAGTGTGTACTACAATATGAAGGCTGGTTAGAGAATACAAGTAATTTGAAGCCATCAATTTCTCAGCATTAGGGTCAACTGCAATGTGCTTGGGAGGACACGTGATGCATGTTTTCACATCCAACATCTGATATGGTAGTGTATGTGCAGCACACCAGTCTCATATGTAGTTATGTAAAAATAGTTAATTAAATGGACTTGTTTTGGAGTTGCTTTAAACATTGTGTAACTACCATAAAACAGAAATCTCAGATCTATGGGGCTGGGAAGGTGGCTCAAGTGGTAGAGCACTAGCCTTGAGCTGAAGAGCTGAGGGACAGAGTTCAGGCCCCACGACTGGAACTCCCCCCCCCCCCCCCAAAAAAAAAAAAAAAGAAATTGCTTTCTATTTTTTTGGGCCTCTTCCAAGGAACCTAAACATCTATCATCTGTGACTGTCTGGCCCCTGTGTACAGAGACTCTGTGGTGCTTCCTTGTGGCTCAATCTTGCTCATTCCTCTGACACCCTAGCCCTGCAGTAGCACAGATAGTCTGGACACAAGTTCAACTAGTACTGCCCAAACTCTCCAGTGGCCTCCATGATACAGTGGAGGCAGACAGCTCCAGCCCTTGGGCACTGAGTGGCCTGGATCTGAAGCCTCTGTCACCCTGCCTTATCCCATCCACCTGGAACATAGCCATGGTCTATTCCTGTCCTGCCTCAGGACTCTTTTGTACCTGCTACTCTGTATTATCACTGTCTGATGTGTTCTTTGAGGTATTCATTTATATTTATTGTCTGTCACCTCTACCAGGATAGGACAGCAGAGCTTTTCAGGGTCTCATTACCTGCTGTGCTCTTGTGCCTAGAGCAAAGCTGGCATAAGAAGGTCCTAAGCCTGGGCTGGGAAGGTGGCTTAGTGGTAGAGTACTTGCCTAGCATGCATGAAGCCCTGGGTTTGATTCCTCAGTACCACATAAACAGAAAAAAGCCAGAGGTGGAGCTGTGGCTCAAGTGTTAGAGTGCTAGCCTTGAGCAAAAGCAGCTCAGGGACAGTGCCCAGGCCCTGAGTTCAAACCCCTGGACTGGCAAAAAAAGAAAACAAACAAAAACCCAAGAAGATCCTAAGCCAGGCACTGGTGGCTCACACTTGTAATCCTAGCTACTTAGGAGGCTGAAAGCTGATGATCATGGTTTGAACTTAGCCCAGGCAAGAAAATTCTGTGAGATTCTTATCTACAATAAACTACCCAAAAAAAAAAACCCCAAACCTGTTAAAAACAAAAAACAAAACGAAGTGAAGTATGGTTTAAGTGGTAGAACTCTAGCCTTGCTCAGAAGAAGCTCAAGGACAGTACCCGAGTCCTGAGTTCAAACCCCGTGACCAGTACAAAAGAAAAAAAGTCTTCAGTATTATTGCTTTTAATGAATATATTGAATGAGCTTCACAAGAAGGGGAAAGTGGGAGACCATTGTTAATTGCAGTCTAGCTCTGTGGTCCGCTATGTGCAAGTTAGTGACTGCCGGGGTACTGGGCAGCTCTGCTCTCAATACTTTACCCTCTACATAACACTGGCTTGTCCTCTCTTAGGAGTTAGCCCACGAGGATCAGGTTGGATTTATTCCAAGAATGAAAAATCAGTAATTAGCACATTACTAGAATTAAGAGGGAAAATTAGTCTTTTTAACAGCTTCCAGAAGAGATTTTGGTAAAATTCAGTGCCCATTTATGATGAAAAGCTGTCAGCAAACTAAAAAAGGGAACTTCCTTTTATTTATTTATTTATTTATTTATTTATTGGGTCCAGTCGTGGAGCCTGAACTCTGGGCCTGGGCACTGTCCCTCAGCTCTTCAGCTCAAGGCTAGCGCTCTACCACTTGAGCCACAGTGCCACTTCCGGCTTTTTTCTTTTTGCTTATGTGGTGCTGAGGAATTGAACCCAGGGCCTCAGGCATGCAAGGCAAGCACTCTACCACTGAGCCACCTTCCCAGCCTGGGGAACTTCCTTTTAAAAAATAATCTCTAGCACAATATTCCCATGTGGGAATATTGAAAACTCTTCATGCAGTGAGAGTGTGACTAGGACAAGCAAAGCTGAGGGGCAGAACCAAGCATGCTTAGGTACTAAGCTCTGCTTCAGCCCTAGCACCAAGTAAAAAAGTAAGAGTGAAAATGGAGGAGGTGGGGGCTGGAAATGTGGCTTAGTGGGTAGCGTGCATGAAGCCCTGGGTTCCATTCCTCAGTACTACATAAACAGAAAAAGCTAGAAATGGTACTGTGGTTCAAGTGGTAGAGCATTAGCCTTGAGCTAAAGAAGCTCAGGGACAGTGTGCAGACCCTGAATTCAAGCTCCGGGACTGGCAGCAAAAAAAGAAAAAGAAAAGAAAATGGAGGAGATGCTGTGAAGCTTGTACTATTGGGGTTTTCTGATTATATGGAAATGTATTTGAATACTGTTAGCAAATACAGTAAGACAACAGATGAATGGATGAGCAGAATTTTTATTTTGTCTATGATGCTATTGTTTTTAGGTTAGTTTAGCCTACGCTTTTGAAACCAAAGATGCCTTATGTTTGGTGCTAACCATTATGAATGGAGGTGATTTAAAATTTCACATTTACAATCTGGGAAGCCCTGGTTTGGAGGAACAGAGAGCTATTTTTTATGCTGCTGAGCTGTGTTGCGCCTTAGAAGATTTACAGAGGGAAAGAATTGTGTACAGGTAGGAATGGTGCGAACTGCTGGTCTGTGAGCCTGGGGTTTCCTGGTTTACACTGACTGCCGTGGCCAGGCAAGGCAAGCGGGAGCCTCCGGACCGCCATTTCCAGGGGACATGCACAGGCCTTTGCCCTGTTTTTTCTTTTTAGTTTCCCTTTAATCTCTAATAAATAGTCTTGTTGAAGGAGTTTTTAGTTAAGTTAATCAAGTAAAGGTATTTATTGACTGATGGGGTGGTTAAAGGAGTAGAGCCTTCTACCTAGCAAGTGTGAGGCCCTGAGTTCAAACCACCAAAATAATAAACAAGCAAATAAATAAGCCTGAGATAGTCTATTTTCAAGATTCTGAGATATTTAGAAAGTTCTAAATTTAGATAGTTACTATGTCCCAAGAAAATAGCATAATTAAATGTCCTTAAAAATATTCTTTTGCCGGGCACTGGTGGCTCACGCCTGTAATCTTAGCTACTCAGGAGGCTGAGATCTGAGGATCAAAGTTCAAAGCCAGCCCAGGCAGGAAAGTCCATGAGACTCTTATTTCCAATAAACTACTAGAAAACTGGAAGTGGCACTGTGACTCAAGCGGTAGAGCACTCACCTTGAGCTGAAGAGCGCAGGGACAGCACCCAAGCCCAGAGCTCAAGCCCCACGACCGACAAAGAAAAAAAATTCTTTTAAGCCAGCACTGGTGACTCACACCTGTAATCCTGGCTACTCAGGAGACTGAGGTCTGGGGATCAGGGTTTGAATCCAGCTTAGGCAGAAAAGTCCATGAGATTCTTACCTCCTATAACTATTCAGAAAAAACTGGAAGTGGCCATATGGCTCAAGTGGTAGAGTGCTAGCCTTGAGTACAAAGACGATCAGAGACATTGCCCAGGCCCTAAGTTAAAGCCCCAGACTGACCAAAAAAAAAAGGTAATATTTTAGTTGTTGGCTCATGTCTGTAATCCTAGCAACTCAGGAGGCTGAGATCTGAGGATTGTGGTTTGAAGCCAGCATAGACAGAAAAGTCTATGAGACTCTTAATCTCCAGTTAACCAGCAAAAATCTGGAACTAGGGGTGTGGGTCAAGTGGTTGAGCACCAGCCTTGAGAGAAACAGTTAAACAAGTGGGAGACCCTGAGTTAAAGCCCACACACATGCATGCACAACAAAAAATACTCTTGTTTTCATCTTAAAGTTCAGTAAAGGAAGTCAAGTTAAAAAGTGACACTGTAAGCCGGGCGCTGGTGGCTCACGCCTGTAATCCTAGCTATTCAGGAGGCTGAGATCTGAGGATCGCGGTTCAAAGCCAGCCCAGGCAGGAGAGACCGTGAGACTCCTATCTCCAATAAACCACCAGAAAACCGGAAGTGGCACTGTAGCTCAAGTGGTAGAGCGCTCGCCTTGAGCTGAAGAGCTGAGGGACAGCGCCCAGGCCCAGAGTTCAAGCCCCATGACCGACAAAAAAAAAAAAAAAAAAAGTGACACTGTAGCTCAAGTGATAGAGCACTCGCCTTGAGTTGAAGAGCTGAGGGACAGTGCTCAGGCCCAGAGTTCAAGCCCTATGACCGACAAAAAAAAAAAAAAAAAAGAAAATCAAGTTAAATTTTAATCAAGTTAAACTTAATAGAATTATTTTAGTGCAGCCAGTATTATTTTGTTTTAGGAAAACAAGTCCTCTACCAGTCTTTGAAATGCTGGAATTCCTAAGCCATTTTTAAATTCTAGAGAGAATGAGCTTCCTTTTTGTGGAGAGACAGTGTAGTTAAACACATTTTAATTTTTCAGCAATCTGAAGGTCAGAAAAAGGAAGAGCTTCTGTTTCAGGCACATAGCAGGGCTTTAAGCAATTGTTAGCAGTCAGAATTGGGAGCCTTGGAGACACCTTGCCCTTGCCCCTCCCCAGGAACTGCCAGCCCAGCCTCACAGTCAGCCTGCTGTGGAAGCTTCCTGGGGCACTGTTCAGGAGTCTGTTGAGGTGAGTCCTGCTCATTGTGGGCAATTACCCAGAATAGAGTCCTGAGAGTCTTCTCAGGAGTCCTGCTTTATGTGAGGCCCAGCAGCAGGGTGACTCATCCAGGACGAGAATGGTTTTGTGAATGTCTGGAGATAGCCCTCAAAGCAGCCCACTAGAACCTAGGCGTTTTGAAAGAGAGCATGTAGAAGGAGCAAGCTTGGGCCTTCTTTGGCCAAAGGCCAGACCCTAAGCTGTGCTGTTTTACATCTGTTATTATTTGGTGAAAAGGTTAGAAACTTAATAAAAGTCCTAGAAGCATTCCTAGAGTACTCCATCTTTTTGTATTTTAATTTTTTAAAACATTTTATTTGGATGTTTTATATAAATTGAATAATATCTTTCCTTTCACTTCTTTTTTTTAATGATTATATTTATAAAGAAGACAATTGTAGTAGTGGCTAATTCATTAGAGCAATGGCCAGTGAGTGAAAGAATCAGGTATCAAGTTTGAGTTCCAGTCTTGGACCTAAAAAAGACCAAAGAAACAAAACAAAATATAATGAAGCTGGGCACTAGTGCCTCATATCTATAATCCTAGCTGTACAAGAGGCTGAAATCTGAGGATCGTGGTTTGAAGCCACCCCAAGCAGGAAAGCTTATTTCCAATTAACTAGCAAAAAGCTGGAAGTAGAGCTGTGGCTCAAGGGGCGGAGCCCTAGCCTTGATCACAGAAGCTGAGGAATAGTGCTCAAGCCCTGAGCTTTAAGCGTTAAAATAAATAAAAAAGAACAATAAGAAAATAAAAGAAACATGATTATTGTTACCAAAGCCCATGTAAGATGTCCTCAAAATCCCTTGAATTTGCCCTGGTATACTGCATAAATATGGTCATTTTCTGTGTTTAACACTGTGGTAGTCACACACACAGCTTCTCTGTGTAGTTGCATGGTATCAAATACAGAAGTACCTGAAATACATGTAGTATATTTAATGACACTCAAGAGATACCTAAGTCCAAAAGTAATGGGAAAAATAAAAATCTTGTGAGTTTATATGAAGTCTATTTTATAAAATTGTTAAAAAAAAATAAGCTTGGACAATTTTTTTTTAAGTTAAAGCACAAAACTGAAGAATGTTGATCAAAAAAGTTCAACTTTAGTGTACTATAATGATCATTTTGAGGGAAATTAGAAATTAAAAACCCAGTAAGTATTTCACTTCTAATTTACTTTGTGTTGGTCATGGGGTTTGAACTCAGGGCCCGGGGGCTATCCCTCAGGTCTCTTGCTCTCTAGCTCTCTACCACTTTGATCCATAGCTCCACTTTCAGTTTTTGAGTGGTTAATTGGAGATAAGAGTCTCACAGATTTCCTGCCTAGGCTGGCTACCAACTTGGATCCTCAGATCTCAGCCTCCTGAGTTGCTAGGATTACAGGTGTGAACCACTGGTGCCTGGCTCCAGTGATTACTTCATACGCTAATTTAGATTATATCCTTTAAATGAATGGGTAGTTGGGGAATTGGTCACTTTCTTGCTGTTTGAGCTTATCTTGCCATTTTCTCTTACATGTATCTTCTGAGATAAAAGATAGTATTTTCCATCATGTTCTCTTAGATTCTTTCATAAGGGACCCCCAAAAAATGCAAGAGCAAGGACCCTCTTGTCTTGGGAAGAACATTAGATGGTCCCTAACCACACTAATAGCATGTTCTAGACCTCAGAACTAACATTGAAAATGAGTACTCCATCTTTTTTCCCCATGGTCCTCTTGTGTGTTTTTCATTGTTGTTCCTTTCCTTGTAGAGACTTAAAACCTGAGAATATCCTCCTGGATGATCATGGTAAGTGCCCAGGCCTTTTGTGCCTGATCATAGACTGTTCGGGGTCTTGAACATAGAAGTTAACATGTACTTAGCCAGTCAATGCAGAATGGAAACAACACCAAAAAGAAACTCCGTGGTATATGCTCCTTAATTTAAAAAAATATGGACGACCTGGCCATTCCCTGGATTTAGGTAAGAAGCAGAAATGGTCATACTTTTAGTTAATTATTAAGTTTTTGAAGTAAACTCAAGTAAAGCAATTGTCCTATTTCTTACAGTTAACTCACATGTTGCTTTATTTCTCAGATTCCTGGTTTTTTGCCCATCTAAATATTGGCAAGCTGCCCTTGATGCTGTCCTTATGTCACGGAGCAGGGTACAGGTGCCTGCTTGAGGGCCCTGTTAGAGTGCATGGAGAATGGCCTTGGGAGGCCAGCTACCTCTTAGCAGCATGGAGGCCACCCTGACCTTGGTGTACCTTGAATGCAGGAGTGTTCCCCACCCTGAGAACGCCTGCTGATTGGCACATAAACCAAATAAGCAGGAGTTTCTACCGAGTGATTATTCATAGCTACCATGAGTGTTACAAGGCAAGGTGCTGGGGCTAAGCCTATAGTCTGACCTGTTTTTTGTTTTTGTTTTTGTCAGTCATGGGGCTTGAACTCAGGGCTTTGGTGCCCTCTCTGAGCTTTTGTGCTCAAGGCTAGCACAATACCACTTTGAACCACAGCTCCACTTCTGGTTTTCTGAGCCTTAATTGGAGATTTTCTTGCCCAGACTGGCTTTGAACTGGTCCTCAGTTTTCAGCCTCATCAGTATTACAGGATTTCAGGTGTGAGCCACCTGTGCTAGGCCCAACCTGTTTTGGAGGATGAGATTGAGAGGATTGTAGTTCTAGGTGAGCCCAAGCCAAAACATTTGTGAGACTCCCATCTCAACCAACAACTGGGCTCAGTAGTATATGGCTGTCAGCACAGGTATGGTAGGAAGTATAAATGGGAAGATTTCAGTGCACACTGACCCAGACAGAAAATGAGACCCTATTTCAAGAATAACTAGGGCAAAAGGACTGGCAGTGTGACTCAAGCAATAGAGTACTTGCCTAGCAAGTGTGAAGCCCTGAGTTTAACCCCTAGTACCACACACACATACAGTGAAGTGAAGGAAGGAGATAAGACAAGATGTGAGTGAGGGCTGGGAAGGTAGCTCAGTGGTAGAGCGCTTGCCTTGCATGCCTGAGGCCCTGGGTTCGATTGCTCAGCACCACATAAGCAAAAAGGAAAAAGCCGGAAGTGGCACTGTGGCTCAAGTGGTAGAGTGCTAGCCTTGAACTGAAGAGCTGAGGGACAGTGCCCAGGCCCAGAGTTCAGGCCCCACAACTGGACCCCCCCCCAAAAAAAAAAAAAAAAAAGAAAAAAAGACAAGATGTGAGTGAAAGGGTAACAAGGCGTCTGAGGTACCCAGAAGGGAAAGCAGGCATGGGACAATCAATGCAAATGTGTGCCTCCATGTGTATCCATGCCTGGTGCTTTCTGCTTGTTATTATGCATGAAGGAAGGTGCTGGAAATCTTTATGGATGATTTAGGTTCTTAGCCTGTTGCTTGTGGTGTACAGCACAGCAGTATTGACCAGAGGCAGAGTTGGGTCAGTTTTAAAGAAAAGGTAGCTTGCGTGCATGAAGCCCTGGGTTCAGTTCCTCAGAACCACATACAGAGAGAAAGCCGCAAATGGTGCTGAAGCTCAAGTGGTAGAGCACTAGCCTTGAGCAAAAGAAGCTCAGGGAGCCAGGTGCCGGTGGCTCAGGCCTGTAATCCTACTACTCAGGAGGATGAGATCTATGGATCACAGTTCAAAGCCAACCTGGGCAGGAAAGTCTATGAAACTCTTGCCTCCAGTAAACCACCAGAAAACAGGAAGTGGATCTGTGGCTCAAAGTTGTAGAGTACTAGTCTTGAGATGAAGAGCTTAGGGACAGTGCCCAGGCCCAGAGTTCAAGACCCACAACCGAACAAAAAACAAAGCAAAAAAAACCCCAAAAAACAAAAAAGCAAACTTTTCAGGCACACATTTAATTTCATGCTATTAATGAAACTGAATTGCCGCATGGAATATTACCAAATACGTAAAAATTAAATGTAATTTTATATTTAAGGGTTTTAGAGTATGAAATGCTATTTTTTTTTTCCGATAAAATAGACTTTTAATATTAGTGAAAAGGTCGGTGCATAGTAATTAAGGGATCACTCAGGGGGATATTACAATTCTAAATATCTATTTGCCAAAAAACGGAGCACCCAAATTTATCCAAGAAACACTACTTTCCCTCAAATCCCACATAGATCCAAAGACATTAATTGTTGAGGACTTTAACACACAACTTTCCCCACTAGATAGAAGAACTTCGCAGAAACTCAACAGAGAAACCTCAGATATAAACAACTGTATAGACCAAATAGATTTAACAGACATCTACTGAATATCTCACACAGCAGCTTTAGAGAATACGTTTTTCTCAGTAGCACATGGAACATTTTCCAAAATAGACCACATTTTAGGCCACAAAGCAAACTTGTCCAAATTCAGAAACATTGAAGTTTTACCTAGCATTCTCTCAGACCACAAGGGGATAAAATTAGAACTCAACACTGTTAGGTTTTTAAAAAGAGGTTGCTGAGTAAGAACTGCAGCAGCACGTGGTATTCAGGTAAGGGGTAGACCTGCTGGGACCAGGGAAGGTTGGCACTCCACGTGGCTGGGAAAGGCCTGGGAAGGAGAGAGAGCTGGGAAAGAGAGGAAAGAGCTAGAAAAGAGCAGAGAGAGGGGTAAGAACAGTAGCACTCACGTGGTATTCAGGTAAGGGGTAGGTTTATTCAGTGGACCTGCTGGGACCAGGCAAGGTTGGCACTCCACGTGGCTGGGAAAGAGAGAAGAAAGAGACAGGAAAGAGCTAGAGCAGAGAGAGAGCTAGAAAAGAAGAGCAAGAGCAAGAGCTAGAAACGAACAGAGAGAGAGCTAGAAACGAACAGAGAGAGCAAGAAAAGAGCAGCAAGAGCAAGAGCTAGAAACGAACAGAGAGAGAGAAAGAGAGTCTGGGCCTGGGCTAGCCCTTATCTAGGGTATGAGCGGGGAAAGGTGTGGCCACATCAAATTCAGATGTGACCTCAGCGGATGCAGATGTGACCTCTTCCAGGTGTCTCAGTTGCCTAGGTACGCAGGTACTGGGTGGAGACTTTGCTGCGAGGAGGGTGGGGTCTGCTTGCCCTCCAGGGGCGGACCTTACATTCCAGCCTTTTAATAATCATGAAATAGGGCAAGGATTCTCTCTGGCTACTTCCTGCTGAAAAGGGGCGTAGACAATAGGGGTAAAAGGCTGGAATTTGGTCTCCTCCCAGAGAAGACAGTGAGCAGCAGCTGTCCCTTGGTGGCGTGAGTCCTTAGATGAAATCTGGAGAAGTCTCATGAGCATTGAGGGGCTGGAAAAAAAAATACTAGACAGCAAATAAATGGCAAGAGGAAGGACTTGGGGCTGAAAATGTTGGTAGAAATGTCCCTAGCTACTTCTGACATCGGGAGACTAGGTGGAGAAGTCAGGTGACAAAGGCAAGAATATAAATTCCTGTCCAGTTAATAGGTAGACTGGTATGGACACTAGATGGGCACGCTTCTTACTTCTACTGACTTCCAGCTCAGGTTAATTTTGAAAGGGCAGACACAAAGTAGCTGATGTGACATCTCCTCTTACTCCTCTCCATGTTCCCTTGTTCCCCAGACTGGCTGAGTCTAGGTGCTCGTTGCAGGGATGGCTTGTCCCAGTTGGTATTCAAGATTTGAACTCAAGGCCTGGGCACTGTCCCTGAGCACTTCTGCTCAAGGCTAGCACTGAACCACTTTGAGTTATAGTACCACTAGTATTCAAGGAGGTTTGAACTCAAGGCCTGGGCACTGTCCCTGAGCACTTCTGCTCAAGGCTAGCACTGAACCACTTTGAGTTATAGTACCACTTGCAGTGTTTAGCTGGGAGATGGAGTCTTAGGGATTTTTCAGCCCGGGCGGGCTTTGAACTGCAATCTTTGCCACAAAAGCCCTTTATTGTTTCCAATTAAAGCAACAAGGAGATCAAGTAGAGTAAGTAGAGCTTACCTGGTTCTTATCAAGAATTGCCAACAAGTATTCTGAAATGACAAAACTCATTAGATGTAATGAGAATTTTAGCACAGATATGCCCAGTATTTTAGAACCACGTAGTCAGTAGTAGAATACTCAACACAAAACAAAAAAGGCAAAACTTAAAACCTAAAATTTTGACAACGTTTAGACATCTTTGCTAACAAAGCATATCAGATGGTTGGGCCTCCGTTACCAGGGCCTGTGAAAAGAGCAACTTGTTAGCAAGGCACCTTAGAATAGATGGAGTAGTAAACTTAGTGGAAGGTTAAGGGTCAGATGGGGCCAAACCCTTAATCCACCACGTGGCCAAGATGGCGAATTCAAGATGGCGAATTTCTGAAAGAATGCAAAGAAAGCCTGAACAAATAGACCAAGCCTACATTGGCTAGCCTTTGAGAGGGAACCTAGAGGGCGGTCCCTGGGACCCAGCCTGTGTCGCACTCTTCAAGGCACAAGCCAAAAAGTTGTAGAAAAAAAGGGTAGAAACTTGCCCATGAATGGCAGTGAGCAAAGAGAGCCCGAAAGTAAACAGACTTCTGATCATTTACCATTGCAGTAGCAAAAACTGTACTTCTGAGAATGGCATAAAAATGAGGCTCTCTGGCTTTCTAGGGAGCGCAGGAGACATTTCAAAGGGGTTTCACGGCTCAGGCGTGATTCGTAGCCCCCCATTAAATGAGTAGAGTCAGTCTGGTGAGTGAAGGAGAGCTGACCAGGCAGAAGCGGCGTCCCGACTTCCCCCAGAGCCCTTTAGAGAGAAATGGCCAAGCCCCCATAACCAAGCGTCCTCGGCTTCAGAGGTGACCGGCCTTTCAGCTAAAGGCCGTAGGAGCTCTCTGGCGTGGCACCAAGTCTGGAGAGAGACTGAGTAACAGAGAGCCGTAGAGTAGTTTCACTCACCAGAGTAGAGAAGTGGTGTGGACGTGGATGTGAAGGCAGCAATGGTATCGATGCGTTGATTCCGCCGCAGACAGACTGGTTTGCAAAAGGCCGTCATAACTGCGGGTATTCCTCAGAGCAAAAAGGAAGAACAAAAAAAAGAAAAAAGAGGAAAAAAACAGAGAAATCCCAGCTTTCCTGACTATAAGACTTTATCCGAGTCACGGCACCATTTATGTTAGGTTTTTAAAAAGAGGTTAACGAGTAAGAACTGCAGCAGTTATGTTAGGTTTTTAAAAAGAGGTAACCGAGTAAGAACTGCACCAGCACGCACGTGGTATTCAGGTAAGGGGTAGGTTTATTCAGTAGACCTGCTGGGACCAGGCAAGGTTGACACTCCACGTGGCTGAGAAAGGCCTGGCAATGAGAGAGAGCTGGGAAAGAGAGGAAAGAGCTAGAAAAGAAGAGCAAGAGCAAGAGAGCTAGAAAAGAAGAGCAAGAGCAAGAGAGCTAGAAAAGAAGAGCAAGAGCAAGAGAGCTAGAAAAGAAGAGCAAGAGCAAGAGAGCTAGAAAAGAAGAGCAAGAGCAAGAGAGCTAGAAAAGAAGAGCAAGAGCAAGAGCTAGAAACGAACAGAGAGAGAAAGTGAAATGCTATTTTTTGATCCATGGCTTTTCTTTTTCTTTTCTTTTGTTAGAGGGATTGAATGTAGTACTTTGTCTTGCTAGACAAGCTCTCTACCACTGAGCTGCATCCCTAGCACTTACCTATGGCTTTTTTTTTCTACAATTACTATTGTTATTAAAATGTCATTACTTGTCTGAGTGAACTGTGTATTATGTTTGAACATACCTAGGACACATTCGGATTTCAGATCTTGGTCTAGCCCGGGAAGTCCCTGAAGGAGAGACAGTTCGAGGAAGAGTTGGAACCATCGGCTACATGGGTGTGTGCAAATCCCCCTTGGTGCTTCTTGTCTTTTCTCTCCAGATGTCCTAGTGCTGTAGAACATAGAGAACTTACCACATGAGACCTGGAGCTCAATCCTAACACAGCAGCTGCTTTCATGATATAGAAACCACTAAAGAGTCCCTACTCTTCAGCTATCTTTTTCAGATGAGTAGTGTGGCCCACAGAAGGTTCTGAGTCCTGATGTTACTGGTTGTGTGTGCACAGTCAGGACAAATTGAGGGATTGACTCCTCATGCTGTCTGAGTCCTATGTGTATGGATCCACAGACTTTCTGAGAAACCATCCTCTTCTGCTTATTCCAAAGATCTTTGGCCAAGTGCATCTGCATCCTTTATGGCCTCCAAGGGAGCTCCTGGCCTTCCAGAATGCTACAGAAACACTTGTGCCCACTCATTGGTTCTGAGGCTTTCACTGACTTGGGGAACCGCTGATAACACACTTGCCGTACTTGAGGAGCCCTTAGGAGTTAGGTCTTCCCTCTAACATTATTCTCCTACACTACTTGCTCTGTTGCAGTCCAGTTCTTCCAGTAAGTATACGCAGACATTTTATTATTTGTTTTTATTTTTTGTGCTAGTCCTGAGTTTTGAACTCTGGGCCTGGACTGTCTCAGAGTTTTTGTGCTCAAGGCTACCACTGTGCCATAGCTCCACTTCCAGCTTTTTGATCGTTAACTGGAGATAAGAGTCTCATAGATTTTCCTGCCCAGGCTGACTTCAAACTGTGATCTTCAGATCTCAGCCTCCTAAATAGCTAAGATTACAGGTGAGAGGCACCGGTTCCTGGCTACACATTTTATTTTATTTTTTGTCAGTCATGGGGCTTGAACTCTAGGCCTGGGCATTGTCCCTGAGGTCTTCAGCTCAGCCTAGCACTCTACCACTTGAACCACAGCGCCATTTCTGGCCTTTTCTGTTTATGTGGTGCTGAGGAATCGAACCGAGGGCCTCATGCATGCGAGGCAAGCAGTCTACCACTGAGCCACCTTCTCCGTACCCTGGCTACATATTTTAAAATAACACTTCATTGAAGTATCATTCACACATCCTAAAGTCCAATTGAATATATAGTTCAGTGGGTGTTCGTAGATATACAGAGTTGTGCACCTGTCACCACTGTCACTGCTTCCTAATTTCAGAAGGTATTTATCACCCCATGAAAGAAACTTTACTCCCTCTTCCTCCCTTCTCCATCAGGCGTGGAAACCACAAATTCTATCCAGTCTCTGGATTAGTGGATTCCATCTGCTTTCTAAAATAGGATAATGGTGCTTAGTGCTCTGTGTCTGCTTTCACTTAACATATTTTTCAGGTCATCGTGTAACACAGATTAAATGTATAATCAATTGTTTGGAATTAAAGGAAGTTTTTAAAACAATATTTAATGCAATTAAATTTCCCTGTATTTGTTACATAGCTCCAGAAGTTATCGATAATGAAACGTACACATTTAGTCCTGATTGGTGGGGACTTGGCTGTCTGATATATGAAATGATTGAGGGACATTCACCATTTAAAAAATTCAAAGAAAAAGTTAAACGAGAGGAGATTGATCAAAGAGTGAAGACAGATACTGAACAGTACTCCGAGAAATTTTCAGAGGATGCCAAATCCATCTGCAGGATGGTAGGTTGTGGTCTGTAACAAGTTCCGAAACTAAACTTCTAACTCATGCTATTTCTCATTGAGTGAAAGAAACAGTAAGTCAAACAGGGAGGCCGTCTATAGTATGTCCACATCCCAGCTTGGTAAGCCTGCGGGCCAAGAGCAAGGATCCAGGCTCAGCCGCAGCTCTCAGGGAACTGCCTCCTTCCTGACACCCTGCCCAGGGGATTTCATCTTAGGTTAGACAGAGCGCTTGCCTGACAAAGGTGAGGCCTTGAGTTCAAACCCCAATACCACCAAAAAAAACCCTTACTAAAGTAAGCAGCTGACATGACATCGTTGGGTTGTATTTTCCCAACCCCTGCTTTAGTCTGTATTTAGAGTTATACTGGTGGGAATCTGCCTTGCTCTCATAACCCAATGTTGTCCCCATGATCCATTGATAACTCCCTCCCTCCTCCCCCACACCTCCTCCCCACTCTTGCCCATTCTCAGGAATCTCCAAACCTCACACCTTGCCCTTTCTAGAAGTGTACTTTGCCCCAGGTGGGACTCTGTGCTGCAGCTGCCTGACTGCACAACCCATCAGCGCCCTTATTCAACTACACTTAAACCCCAGGCCCCCACCCCTGCGCCTCTACCCTTGTGTCTCCAACTCAGTTTGGTGTGTTTGGTGTCCCTCTTCAGTGCTGACCAAGTCTGATCTGAGTTTGCTGAGCAAGTCCGATCTGAGTTGTTGAGGTGTCTGTCTCCTTTCCTTTCGTCTCCTTGATCTTTCCTAACACATCTTTTAATGTGCTGATTGTTAGTATAGCCTTTTTTTTTTTTAATATGAGAGAGTCTTGGGCACTAATGGCTTACCCTGTAATTTTAGCTACTCAGGAAGCTAAGCTCTGGAATTTGAGAATCAAAGCCAGCCTGGGCAGACAGATTTCTTAATCTCCAGGTAACAACCAAAAAGCCAGAAGTGGAGATAAGGCCCTAGTGTACCAACCTTGAGTGGATAAAGTTAAGCAAGAATAGGAGACTCTGGGTTCAAGCCCAAGTACTGGTACAAGAGGGGTGAGGGAGGAGAAAATGTGTCTTGCTATGTTGCTCTGTCCAGAGACTTTTATTGAACTAGACTCAAAGCCGTCTTCCACCTGAGCTTCGTGAGTAACTGGGATCACAGACATAAATCTCCATACCCAACAGCCTAATGTTTTTTGATTAACGGTAATTGAGAGAGGCTTATTTGTATTTGTAATAATTGTAAATATGTATGTAAAAATACTTTGGAAAGGACATTTTAAGTATATATTAATTGTAGTATTCTACTAAATCTAAGTATATACTACATTTTCTATTTTGAGTATATGTTATTCTGGGATGAGATTTGCTAAATTTTTGCCTCAACGAAGAGCTTAGTAACCTAATAAAAAGTATAAGTGGCTTCTAAGTATAACAGATTGTCAGTGGTACCTCTGAAGTTCTGAGTATTTTTATTTTCTTTTAAAAATCCCTCAATTTTATGTAATTAAAAAGTTTATTAAGCTAGGCACCAGTGGCTCACTTCTATAATCCTAGCTACTTAGGAGGAGGTTGAGCTCTGAGGATCATGGTTCAAAGCCAGCCCGGGCAAGGATAGTCAGTTCGTGAGACTCTTATCTCCAATTAACTACCAGAAAACTGAAAGTGGCACTGTGGCTCAAGTGGTAGAGTGCTCGCCTATGAGCTGAATTGCTGAGGGACAGGACCCAGGCCCAGAGTTCAATCCCCATGACTGACAAAAAAAAATTATGTACATTAGTTGTACAAAGGTATTTTGTTGTGATATTTTCATAATGCAAATGATGCACTTCATTTATTTTTAATTTGTTTTGTTTTTCATGGAACTTGAACTCTAGGTCTGGGCACTGTCACTGAACTGTTTTGCTCAACACTAGCCCTCTAGCGCTTTGAGCCACAGTGCCACTTTTTTTTTTCTGGTGGTTAATTAGAGATAAGAGTCTCATGGACTTTCCTGCCCAGGCTGGCTTTGAACCGTGATCCTCAGATCTCAACCTCCTGAGTAGCTAGGATTACAAGCGTGAGCCACCAGCGCCTGGCCAGGCAAACTCTTATTTATTGATAGCTTAAAGGCTAACCTTGGAGCCCACCTTTTGGGAAGCATCCCATTTCCAATTAATATAATCTGAATGTGTCTAGCTTGGGTGATACTTGGACATTGTAATGACTGTACTTTAAATGTCTGTGCTCCCTGCTGCTCCTAGTCCTTTTGTTATGAAGGAGTTATTATCATTGGTTACTGTCATATGGGTTTTTCATTTTTATCCTAGGTGCTTAAATTGATCTGTTTCCACCTCTTGTGCAGTTACTCATCAAAAACCCAAGTGAGCGGCTGGGCTGTAAGGGCGATGGAGCTGCAGGAGTAAAGCAGCACCCGGTGTTCAAGAACATTAACTTTAGCAGGCTGCAAGCACACATGTTAGACCCTCCTTTCTGTCCTGATGTAAGTACACTGCCCAGTCAGCTGAGCTCCCAGGAACTCTGATTCCCCAGAACATGTTTTTGGTTTGTGAAGGCAGATGCAGACTCAGTCATCTGGTACAGATAGGATATAGCTTTCTGCTTCTTCCACCCCCTTTACCTCCCAGCACCCACAGCCAATGGCATACCTTTCTGCCTGCTCTGGGGCTCTGGGGCACATTGTCTCTCCAGGGGGAGCCAAGCTGCTGCCTTCGTAAACTTCAGTGCCATTCTTCAAGCCTGCCGTGAACTGGCGTCCCTGCTCTGATCTCAGGACTGGCGTCTCAGCCAGTTCCTGTGCCCTCCTCACGTGCAGTGCATGCCTTCTGCCTTAGTGTGCAATGTGCATTCCCACACCACTTTTCACAAGACTCTGGGACCCCAGCCAGGCCCCACACTGAGGACCCTGCAGTTGTCCCTTTGCCTCCTTGTGAGTATGCTGTCAACAAATCGGTCAGGTCTTCAAAGTGCTCAGCACAGGGCCAGGTATTTGTCAGTGCCTGCTGGCAAGCTAGTATTGTAAATAAACTCCTACTGATGTGAGAAGAAATGAATGCAGCATGGCACCAGTGGCTCAAGCCTATAATCCTAGCTGCTCAAAGTGCACTGCTGACCAGTGGTGAAAAGAGCACTCCTGCTTTGCTCGTAACAGGTATCTGTTGTCTGTGCAAGTTCTGACCTACAGTAAAGTGTTTCCCAGACCTCCAGGGTGCCTTGTGCTGAGGAAGGGAGGATCCACAGCTGCAGAGCGCTGTTCTCTGGATGCCTTGGCATTAGAAGCTCACGGTCAGAAGTACTCAGGTCACGTCTGCCCTGCCTGCTTGCCTGACCCATTGCTTCTGACAGTAGCAGTGCTAGGGTAGTGCTACAGGCAGGCCTGGGCTCAGATCCTGGAGGAGGGGCTACTAGAGCAGACCCGGTGAGCAGGGCGGTGAGACCACTTGAAGAACCTGGGAGGGCACGCAAGAAGTTTGCTTTCAGTTGCACTTAGTGACCAGATGCTATGGGAAGAGCATATCCAGGGCCAGAAACGGGGGGGGGGGGGGGGGGGGGGGGGGCCTGGGCACTGTCCCTCAGCTCTTCAGATCAAGGCTATCACTCTACCACTTGAGCCACAGCACCACTTCCGGCTTTTTTCTTTTTGCTTATGTGGTGCTGCGGAATCGAACCCAGGGCCTCATGCATGCAAGGCAAGCGCTCTACCACTGAGCTACCTTCTCAGCCCCAGCAGTGGACTTTATTAATGCATCTCATTCTTCATAATTATGGGAGCTAAGCATTCTAGTTATCTCCATAGGTTGATGCCTCTCTTTGTTCTTGGTGCTCAGCCTCAGGCCATTTATTGTAAGGATGTCTTGGATATTGGGAAGTTCTCTCTGGTGAAAGGAGTCTACTTGGACACCACAGATGAAAACTTCTACGCGCAGTTTGCTACTGGGTGTGTCTCCATCCCCTGGCAGAATGAGGTACTGCTCTTCCCAGCAGAGAAGGTTTTTATGCTAGTTTAAACCACCATGTAAGTGTGTAGGTGTGTGCAAGTATTTAAGAAGCAAATTTTGGACAACATTTGAACATAGGACTAGACCATGGGCAAGCCAAGGCCATTTTAATAATTATCCAGAGGCATGGCAGCTGTTGAGGTCCAATTACAGGAAAAGAATAGAGGGTGCCCATCTTGGATCTAGAAAGGACTTGCCTGCCTCCTAAGAAACATGCTTACTAAGTAGGGCTAGCTGGTAGCTATGGCTCTCATGGCATTAACTGCTTTGGGGATACACTTAGAGAAAGGAGAACAAAAGGCCACTTACTTTCTCAGGTCAGGCAGCAGGGAACACAGGGATTCAGGAGAGTAGAAGCCATGAAGGCCTGGGGTGCTGATGTGCCCCTGAGTGAGCACAGGTGCTGGGTGGGGCTGGTGCCCTGGGAGACCACTGCACTCACGTGCTCTCTACTGCTCACACCTCTTCTGTTCATACAGATGATTGAATCTGGATGTTTCCAGGACATCAATGAAAGACAAAGTGACGAAAATCTCGCATCAGATCACAAGGAGAAAATCTCTTCCCCATTATCTAAATCAAAGAGAAGATTCTTCTATGAACTCTTCAGAAGAGGGGTAAAACAAATTTTTTTTTGGTGATACAAAATTTTTTATACAGAGCTGGGAAGGTGGCTCAGCAGTAGCATGCTTGCCTTGCATGCATGAGGCCCTGGGTTCGATTCCTCAGCACCACATAAACAGGAAAAGCTGGAAGTGGTTCTGTGGCTCAAGTGGTAGAGCGCTTGCCTGGAGCTTAAGAGCTGAGGGACAGCGCTCAGGCCCAGAGTTGAAGATCTACAACTGAAGAAAAAAAATTATACAGACAGACAGACACACACACACACACACAGAGTGTTTGTTGAGCTGGACATACAGCTTAGTAGAATACTTGCCTAGTATTCATAAGGTCTTGGGTTTCATCCCCAGTTGCCTACCACAGTATATATATAATATCCATGTGTCACAGGCATGAGCCACCAGTGTCTGGCTCTAGTTTCCTTTGCAGTGCTTTGTACATTATACAAGCTAGGAACTGGTAAATCCTCACACCTATAATTGTAGCTACTCAGGAGGATGAGATCTGAGTATCATAGCTTCAAAACAGTGTAAGTAGAAAAATGTACAATAGTCTCCAGTTAAATAGTAAAAAGCCAGAAGTGGAAGCATATCTCAAATGCCAGCCATGAGAGAAAAAGCCAAGTAATAACATGAGGCCCTGAGTTCAAATCCCACTACTAGCATACACACAAATACAGGGCCAAAAAGCCGTATGGTGCTCAGAAAATTGTATGCATTACCTGAATTGTGCAGTGGTAACCCGTCTATGCAACACCTTAATAACAAAATATTTTTATTTATTTATTTATTTTTGGTCAGTCGTGAGACACAAAATATTTTTTTAAAACTCCCCCCCAAAAAATCCATATGGTGCTAATAAGAGCTCAAGCAGAAAAATCCTCCCAATGCTGTGGGAAGATTGTTATGATTCACCAGCATTGAACCTGTTTCCTGTGTTGACAACAGGATTTTTAAGTGGGAGGGATTGAACCCAGGACCTTGCATCTGCTTGGCAAGGACTTCCCACTTGAGCTACATTCCCCAACCTCCTAACCATCATTTTTGTTTTGAGATAGTCTTAGTAACTTTTCCTTAGGTAACCTCAAACTCACGCTTCTCCTGTTTGCACTTCCTGAGCCTCTGGGATTGTAGGCATGTCATCACGCCTAGTTGTAACAATATTTTGAGCTATGCTCAGGAGCCAAGGTCAGCTGGAACTACCATAAACAATGCACATTGTTTAAATCCTCTGTGCTCTGATTCCTGTCCCACTCTGTCTCACGCTTGCTCACATGAGGACAGAGGTCTCTTTTGAAAATGGAATTGTTGGAGAGGATTTCTGTAGTATCATTAAATTTGGAAAATAAGTTCTTGCCATTCATTGGTTGTTCACCTGTCCCCCTAGCTACTCAGGAGGCTGAGATCTGAGGATCATGGTTCAAAGCCAGCCTGGGCACAAAAGTCCATCGTGAGACTTATCTCCAATTAACCACCAGAAAACCAGAAGTGGTGCTGTGGCTCAATGGTAGAGTGCTTGCCTTGAGCTGAAGAGCTGAGGGACAGCGCCCAGGCCCAAAGTTCAAGTCCCATGACCAACCAAAAAGAAAAAACAACAACAACAAAAAACCTTTGGTACTTGGATGAGTGGATTGTTCTGCTTTGTTCCTGTCCATTCTTGAGAAATGGATTCAGAGAATATCCACTAGCATTTAAATACCTTTTTTCAGTATAAAAAATAAGCCTTAGGTGAGGGGGGAAGCAAAGGGGGAAGTTGAAGAAGTTACTTATATAACTGTAACTCCTGTGTATCACCTTTACAATAAAATTTTTAAAAATAAGCTTTAGCCCAGGCCCTGAGTTCAAGACCCTCAACCAACAACAACAAAAGCCTTAGAGCTTGTCAGCAGTGGCTTATGACTGTAATCCTACCTATTCAGGAGGCTGAGATCTGTAGATCACAGTTCAGAGCCATCCTGGACAAACATCAGAAATTCATTTATAGTTAACTGCTAAAAAATTTCCATTGTAGCTTAAGTGGTGGGGCACTACCAGCCTTGAATAAATATGCTAATGAAGAGCACAAGGCCCTTAGTTCAAGTCTCAGTGCCCCCCCCCCCCACACCCTTAGGTGGTAAAAATCTTCCAGAGTGACAATGGGTTGTGACATTTCCTCTGAGAACAAGGGGTTAGTCATGAACTGACCAAATCGATCTCCCCATTTGTGGTTTATGCTGGTGAGACCAGCTCAGATCCTGTTACAGCATCCACACCATTGAGAAATTGTGTTAATAGAAAGGAGTTGTACAAGGTACTTCTTGGTAAAGGAGCTCGTGAGCTTCATTCCCTTTATGCACTCAACTATGAACCTGTAGATCCCAGCTCCAAACTCCTGGGCTTCCAAATCAAGTCTGGCCACCTGCCTCACTACACACCAAACATAGAGACATGGTGAGGGGCAGGGAAAGGAGGTATACTACATCCAAGCATGTCTGGGAAGACGTACTTGAGCCTATTGGCACAGACATTTGCCCTAAATAGGAAGAATTACAGACAATGAGAGGCATGCGTGGTTAAAATAGTCCCAGTCTCAAAGGTGGCCTGAGTTGGTGTCACAGGTTAGTCTGGAAGTCCATTGTCTAGGATTGGTCAGGTGGGCAATGGTTGAGGGAGAGGGTCATATATAAAATGTACACAGGGATGCCGAACTTTGAATTGATTTGTGGACTGAAGTAATTGGTGCTTTGTAGTAAGTAGTTTAAGTACCACTTTCAGACTGTTTGGCTCAATATACAACAGTAAACAAAGCAGTTATTCTGAGGAATTTTCTACGTATGTGAATTAAGCAGTTTTCATTTCTTTTTTTTGGGGGGGGGTCCGGTTGTGGGGCCTGAACTCTGGGCCTGGGTGCTGTCCCTCAGCTCTTCAGCTCAAGGCTAGCACTCTACCACTTGAGCCACAGTGACACTTCTGGCTTTTTTTTTCTCTGCTTATGTGGTGCTGAGGAATCGAACCCAGGGCCTCATGCATGCAAGGCAAGCCCTCTACCATTGAGCCACCTTCCTAGCCCCAGTTTTCATTTCTTTAAAGGAGGAGAAGATACCTAAGGTTTTGAGTGCCCTACAGTTAGCATCTCTCAGAAGTTCATAACTTGTTGCATACAGGTATTCCCTTGATATCTCCTGAAATTGGTTCTTTTTTTTTGGGGGGGGAGGAGGGGGCTCCGGTCATGGGGCCTGAACTCTAGGCCTGGGCGCTGTCTCTCAGCTCAAGGCTAGCACTCCACCACTTGAGCCACAGCGCTATTTCCGGCTTTTTTTTTTTTCCTGCTTATGTGGTGCTGAGGAATCGAACTCAGGGCCTCTGGCATGCAAGTCAAGTGCTCTACCACTGAGCTACCTTCTCAGCCCCTGGGATTGGTTCTGAGACCACACCTCAGATACCAAAATCAGAGGGTGCTCAGGTCCCTTATATAAAATGATTGTACATGTAGTTGTACTCTTAAAATTTGTATTATTCTTGATGTATTGTTAAATTTTTACTGTTTTGGGGGGAGGGGCAGTCCTAAGGCTTGATCTTGGGGCCTGGATACTATCCCTAAGCTTTTATTTATTTATTTATTTATATTGTAAAGATGTACAGAGGGGTTAGTCACATAAGTAAGGTAATGAGTACATTTCTCGTTGAACAGTGTTACCCTCTCCCTGGTTTTTTCCCCACTTTCCCTTCCCAAACTCCCCTCCCCCTCCAAATTGTAAAGTTCATTTCTAACATGGTGTCTTGTGAGTATCGCTGTTGGATTGGTTCACCCTTTTTCTCACCATTTTGTTCTCCTTCCCTTCCCCAGATCAGGTAAATGTATATAGAAGAGACAAGGTACCAAAATTAAAAACAGTGACACCGGGGGATAAATCAAGGGGGAAAAAAGCAAAAGAGAAAAGAAATAACTTCACACAGTACATTAAAGAAACAAAAACAGGAGCCAGTGGCTCATGCATGTAATCCTAATTACTCAGGAGGCTGAGATCTGAGGATCATGGTTCAAAGCTAGTCCGGGCAGGAAAGTCCGTGAGACTGATCTCTAATAAACCACTAGAAAACTGGAAGTGGCGCTGTGGCTCAAGTAGTGGAGCGCTCACCTTGAGCTGAAGAGCTTAGGGACAGCAACTAGGCCAGGAGTTCAAGCTCCATGACCAACAACAAAAACAAAACCTTTTGGGCTGGGAAGGTGGCTCAGTGGTAGAGTGCTTGCCTTGCATGCTCGAGGCCCTGGGTTCGATTCCTCAGCACCACATAAGCAAAAAGAAAAAAGCCAGAAGTGGCGCTGTGGCTCAAGCGGTAGTGCGCTAGCCTTAAGCTGAAGAGCTGAGGGACAGCGCCCAGGCCCCGAGTTCAGGCCCCACAACCGGACCCAAAAAAAAACCCCCCAAAAAACAAAAAAACCCTTTTGTTTCCATATCTTGGATTTCCCTGAGCTTTTGTGCTCAAAGCTATCATTCTGTCATAGCTCCACTTCTGGCTTTTTGCTGGTTTACTGGAGATGAGTCTCACAGACTTTCCTGCCTGGTCTGGCTTTGAACCTCAATCTTCTGATCTCAGCCTCCTGAGTAACAAGGATTACATGAATGGGCCAATAGCGCCCAGCTATGGTTTATTTAGTTTTGTCTGTTGTGGGGCTTGAACTCAGGCCTGGGCGCTATCCTTAAGCTTTTTTGCTCAAGGCTACTGCTCTATTATTTGAGCCACAGTACCACTTCCAGATTTTTCTGAGTAGATTATTGGAAATATGAGTCTCACAGCCTTGCCTGCCTGAACTGGCTTTGAACCATTATCCTCAGATCTCATCTTCCTGAGTGCTAGGATTACAGGCATGAGCCACCAGTACCTGGCCTCTGTTATTTATTTGGAGTTGGTCGAGTCTGTACATAAAGCACCTGTAGATACTGAGGGCTGCCTCTACTTATGGGGAACAAAGTCTGCTTGCCTTGGAAACCTGCCTAAGGCCGGCCATTGCCCCATGTGTTACAGGGCTGCCTGAGTGCTGGCCCTGAGAACGAAGAGGGAGGGGAGCGGACACAACGCTGACTGTTCTGGTGCATACCGAAGATTGAGACCCTGACACCAAGAAGAAGCACACAGAGTTTCCTCCTATTCATGACCTGTGATAAACATCCTTGGACACATTACATCATACCTTCACAGATTTTTCTACATCAATGCCAGCATTTTCTTTTCGCTAAAGTGGATTAAAGGAAAAAAAAAGAAAACCCTCAGTACCATTATATTGTCAAAAACTCAGGTGTGGATGCTTTGTGGGAGAGGCTTGCTTCCTAGGTGCCCACAGAGGAGTGGTGGGCTTGGAGGTAGATGAGTCAGCACTGGTCTAGTGGTGCCCCGCTCCAGAATTGTCCTGACATAGTCTGAACGAGATATGGGCCAGGAAGAAAGGGAGGCAGGTTATCGCCCTTTCCCCAGGAGGAGGGGGAGGTGGGTTATCCCAGGAATGGAGGTGTTGGTAGTCCTTGCTGGTGTCTGGATGGCAGTGATGTCCATCAGCCCAGTGTCCATGTCTGTGTGGCTGCTTTTAAGCTTTCCCTAAGTATATGTCCTGTCTCTGCAAGGTCGCAGCTGTCTATGGCATTGACTCGTGGTGTGTGCATCACTGTTAGCATCCATCTCAGGTGAGCCCCCAGTGAAGGGCTCCATGTGGAAGCCCTTGGGGTGGGGCCTCAGGACGTAAGGCCTCAGGTAGCCCCTGGGTGATGGAGGTGCCCTCAAGGGGTTCAAGGGGCCCCTGGTGTCTCTTCCTTTGGTATGCTTCCTGGCTTGTGCTGACAGTGGTTTTGTTTAGCCATGTGCTGCTGTCATGAAGTGCTGCCCCAATTTGATTGAAGCAAACAGTCAAAACCAGCTAAGATGAGCTGGCTTCCACCTTCAGGCCTCAGATCTCAGCCTCCTGAGGGGCAAGGATTTACAGGTAGGAGCCACAAGTGTCCAGCTTATCCTGGACATTTTTTTTTTTTGGTCCAGTCGTGGGGCCTGAACTCTGGGCCTGGGCACTGTCCCTCAGCTCTTCAGATCAAGGCTATCACTCTACCACTTGAGCCACAGCACCACTTCCGGCTTTTTTCTTTTTGCTTATGTGGAGCTGAAGAATCCAACCCAGGGCCTCAGGCACGCAAGGCAAGCGCTCTACCACTGAGCCACCTTCTCAGCCCTATCCTGGACATTTTAAGCTGTACATACAATTCATTGGATGGAACATTTAAACCTCCGTAACTCCTTTCAGCTTCCAACTAAAACTCTTGGTACCAACTAAACACCAGTTTCCCCTTGTACCTCTGTTAGTCCTGACACTTGTCCTTTGTGTCCACAACCCCCGTAAGTGGAACTTTTATTTATTTTTTTATTGTGAAAATACCATACAGAGGGGCTATAATTACATGGGCAAGGTAATGAGCACATTTCTTTTTTTTTTTTTTTGTCAGTCATGGGGCTTGAACTCTGGGCCTGGGCGCTGTCCCTCAGCTCTTCAGCTCAAGGCGAGCGCTCTACCACTTGAGCTACAGCGCCACTTCCCGTTTTCTGGTGGTTTATTGGAGATAGGAGTCTCACGGTCTTTCCTGCCCGGGCTGGCTTTGAACCGCGATCCTCAGATCTCAGCCTCCTTAGTAGCTAGGATTACAGGCGTGAGCCACCAGCGCCCGGCTATGAGCACATTTCTTATCAAACATTGTTGCCTCCTCCTTTGTTTCCCCTTCCCATCCCTCCCTATTCCCCCCCCCCAAAGTTGTAAAGTTCGTTTTTTGACATAACAACTTGTACATCTCATTGTTGCAATGGGTCCATCCCCATCTGTATCTCTATTTAAGCAATTTGTTTTTGCCCTTCCCCTCCACAAATTATACCAACATCAAATACAGTGAGAGCAGGGGTTATACCATGGGGGAGGGACGTACAAAGCAACAAAGAAATCATAAATATGTTAGAAACAATAGCAAGAAAGAAAAAACTAATATTGGGGTTCATTTCACCTAACAACTTATCTGACCTTTTCTGCTTGTCTGAGACATATACTAGTTATTGCAAATAAGGGAAACCAAACCATGCAAGCTGCGTACTGATGCCTCATGCCTATAATCCTAGCTACTCAGAAGGCTGAGAATGTGAGGATTATGGTTCAAAGCCAGCCCAGGCAGGAAAGTCTATGAGACCAACGAAAACTGAAGTAGAGCTGCTGCACAAAGTGGTAGAGTACTAACCTTGAGCTGAAAAAGCCCGTGAGACTCTTATCTCCAATAAACCACTAGAAAATGAAGTAAACAGCAGGGATATCAGTGAGACAGCATCCAGGCCCTCATTTCAAACCCCATGACATGACTGACAAAATTATGCAGTACTTGTCCTTTTTAATTGGCTTGTTAGCATAGTGTTCCCAAGGTTCACCCATGTTGCAGCATGAGTCAGAATTTCCTAGCTTGCGTTAGGCTCAAGTCATAGAAGCCTTGACTACCAAATATGAAGCCATGAGTTCAAATCCCAGTGCCTGCGCTGGGAAGGTGGCTCAGTGGTAGAGTGCTTATCTCACATGCATGAGGCCCTGGCTTTGATTCCTCAGCAACACATAAACAGAAAAAAATGGAAGTGGCGCTGTGGCTCAAGTGGTAGAGTGAGAACTAGCCTTGAGCTGAAGAGCACAGGGATAGTGTCCAGGCCCAGAGTTCAAGACCCATGACTGACAAAATTCTAGTGCCTTATATTTCATGGTATTATACATATTTTTGTATGGGGGCTTGAACTCAGGAGCCTTATACTTGCTTGGGGTTGCTTGCTCATGGATGGTGCTCTGCCATTTGAGCTATACCTCCAACCTGCTTTTTGCTAGTTAACTGGAAATGGAGTCCCAAGGATTTACTCTCTGATCTGGCTTTGACCACTGTGCTCCAGGGCTCAGCCTCCTGAGTAGCTAGGATTATAGGCGTGAGCCACTAGCATCTGGGTCATATTTCTTCTATTTGTTGTTGAACACTTTGGTTGCCATAATGGTGCTATTAATGTGGGTTTACAAAAGCCTGTTTAAGTCACTGCTTTCAATAGTGTATGTGTGTGTACGTGCTGTTACTGTGCCTTGGGCTCAGGGCCTTGCACTCTTACTTGGCTTTTTCAGTCAAAGCTGGTTACTCTACCACTTGAGCCACAGAAGCATTTTCAGCTTTTTTTCTGGTTAATTGGAAAAAAGAATCTCAAGGACTTTTCTGCCCAGGCTGGCTTCGAACTGCCATCCTTGGTTCTCAGCCTTCCAAGTAACTAGGATTGCAGGCATGAACCACCAGTGCCTGAATGAGTTTAATTCTGCTATGTGCACAAGAGGAGACTTGATGGATCTTTTTTTTTTTTTTTGGGTCCGGTTGTGGGGCCTGAACTCTGGGCCTGGGCACTGTCCCTCAGTTCTTCAGCTCAAGGCTAGCACTCTACCACTTGAGCCACAGCGCCACTTCCGGCTTTTTTTTTTTATGTGGTGCTTAGGAAGCGAACCCAGGGCCTCGAGCATGCAAGGCAAGCGCTCTACCACTGAGCCACCTTCCCAGCCCCTTGATGGATCTTAATTATATTTAAATTTTTTTTGAGGGGCCATCATAGCACCTGCACTATTTTACATCCCCACAACAGTGCATAGGGGCTCCAGCTTCTCCCCATCGTCCTTAGCAAGTTGTATTAATGGCTTTTCAGTATTCAGTCACTGAAAAGTAATAATGTCCCTGCCAATTCCCTGTTGTTGGACTCTTAAGTTGTTTTATCTTCTTAACAATACTAATACCACTTTAACATCCGTCTCCGTTTCTGACTGCTTGTCCCAGGTTTCCTTAGCGCAGTATCCTGTATGTGTTTGCTCAACGAAATGAAGCAGTTAAGCATTGCCAACTTAGTGTTTAGAAAAATAATTTGACATCTAGCCAGCAGTTTCCACAAGTCCCCAGCAGTCCTTTTCCTGCAGGTCACACTGAACCACGAACCCAAAACTGTTCAAATAGATAGGTGCTGGTGGCTCATGCTGTAATCCTAGTTACTAAGGAGGTAGAACTCTTGAGGATCATAGTTCAGAGTCAACCTGGACAGGAAAGTGTGTGAAGATTCCATTTAACTAGCAAAAAAAACCCCAGAAGTGGAACTATGGCTCAAGTGGTACAGTGCCAACCTTGAAGGAAAAAGCTAAGGGACAGTGCCGAGGCTCCAAGTTCAAGCCCTAGACTGGTGCATGTGTGCCCATGCACAGGCACACACATGTATGCACATACATTGTCAAAGATGTCAAAGAGCAATGCCCCCAAAACAGACTCAGCTGAGCTGATGTGGAAATGCAAAAAATTAAAATGAGAGTCACATGTACCAGAACCCTTTTTATAAAGCCACTATAAACTGGTAACTCCAATTTTATACAAAACTCATCAGTCTCTTACGAATATTAATGCCAAAACTTAAATATTACCAAACAGCATCCACAAACACATTAAAATATTACATCATAATGCAGTTGCTTTTTTCAGTAGTGTATATTGGTTCTAAAGGGCAGAGCTGTGAAGCCCAGGCCAAAATATCCACATTAGATGGATTCAAGGAGGAAACCTGCATAACTAGAAGGCTTGTTAGGGAACTAGAACCTTTCAAAAGTGACAAAGTAGGGTCTGGGAATGTGGCTCAGTGGTAGAGTGCTTGCTTTGCATGCATGAGGCCCTGGGTTCGATTCCTTAGCACCCCATAAGCAGAAAAAGCTGGAAGCAGTGCTGTGACTCAAGTGGTAGAGCTCTAGCCTTCAGCTGAAGAGCTGAGGGACAGCGCCCAGGCCGAGTTCAGGCCCCACGACTGACAAAAAAAAAGTGACAAAGTACATATTAAAAAATAGGTAGAGGGGCTGGGAAGGTGGCTCAGTGGTAGAGCGCTTGCCTTGCATGCCTGAGGCCCTGGATTCAATTCCTCAGCACCACATAAGCAAAAAGAAAAAAGTCAGAACTGGCGCTGTGGCTCAAGTGGTAGAGCGCTAGCCTTGAGCTGAAGAGCTGAGGGACAGCGCCCAGGCAGAGTTCAGGCCCCACGACCAGACCCCCCCCCAAAAAAAAAAATGGGTAGAAATTCTCACTCTGAAAATTACATACACAAAATTCCAGAAGTTAATGGTTAATGGAAATGCCAAAAAGAGAATTGGTATGTTTCCAGCTATCCAGAATAAAGAGAAAGAGAAAAGGTAGTATGGTGGGAGGACTTAACCGACACAAAGACAGGGAAGATGGGATAAAGACTAGGTTGTTTCCAAATCAATCAGTAAATCCAAATACAGCTGGCTCCAATGGAAAGCGTTGCGTAAAAGCTGTTTTTGCTGGGCCCATAGATTAACTAAAAGCAGGAGAAGCTCACCACCGCCTCCATGTTGTATGTGTCTGCGTTAAACCATTATCTTAGCAGTCACTTTGTCATCACTTATGGGTTCCTGGAAAGGACAGGACTGATCAACAACATCTTTATGAGGAAAGACTGAAACTACTTCTAAGGGATAATTGAGTCATCTCAGGGCAGACCACCCACCAAACAGTGATGATCTGCTTATCCTGACCAGTGATGGCAGTGATAACTTCACCAGAATCCTCTCAAGGACTGAAATAATGATCCACCTAGCCATACCTGACCAGGACTGTGGAGTAGTTGTGCACCCTGCTTTCCCTACCTCTTGTTTATAAAACCTAAAGTACATGTTTGTAGCTAGAAGATGTGAAAGCAAGCTACAGTGTTGTCTTCCCACCCTGTCTCTTTATTTTGTGCATAGGAATGAGGCATTGGACTCTACTTGTGAAATCTCCTGGAGTTTGGAGAAGGGTAGGTTATCTAAAAACTAGTTTCATAACCTGATGAAAAGCAATATAAGCTGAGCACTTGTAGCTTACGCCTATAGCCCTAGTTACTCAGGAGACTTAGATCTAAGGATAGTGGTTCAAAACCAGCCTGGGCAGGAATAGCCTGGAATACTAATTTTTTTTTTGTCGGTCGTGGGGCTTGAACTCGGCTTGGGCGCTATCCCTGTGCTCTTCAGCTCAAGACAAGCGCTCTACTGCTCGAGCCACAGCACCATTTCCGGTTTTCTAGTGGTTTATTGGAGATAAGAGTGGAAAACGAAAAAAAAAAAGAGTAGAAAACGAACTTTACAACTTTGGTAGGGGAGGGGGAGAAATTTTGGGTAGGGGGGTGGGGGGAGGATGGGATGGGAAGGGGAAACAAAGGAGGAGGCTACAATGCTTGATAAGAAATGTACTCATTATCTTGCCCATGTAATTGTAACCCCTCTACAGTATTTTCACACACACAAAAAAAAAGTCTCACAGACTTTCCTGCCCGGACTGGCTTTGAACCGAGATCCTCAGATCTCAACCTCCTGAGTAGCTAGGATTACAGGCGTGAGCCACCAGCGCCCGGCTCGTTTTCAATTAACCACAAAAATCCAGAAATGGAGTTGTGGCTCAAGTGGCAGAATGCTAGCCTTGAGCAAAAAAATCTCAAGGGCCAGCATCCAACCCTTGAGTTTAAGCCCCAGTATTGGCACACACACAAAGACTTAACCAAGCCCCAGTAATGACAAACACACAGGATAGGCATACAGTGCGTTTAATGGGGGAAATGCAGAAGGTCATCAGGAGCAAACATCTTGTTTTCTAAGAGCTCAAGACTGGAAAGACCAGCCAGGAAAATGGCAGTCCCTGTTACTATGTATATTTTACAAGGGACTTGTAAGGAAAAAAATATCCTCTGTCCAATCACAAAGCAAAGGGGGGCTTCAGGTGTTGGTGGCGGTTCTGTAGGTTAAAAAGAGCACTCCATCTCATCTAGAGAACTTTCCCTTCAGAGGATTTGTATTTCAGGACTTCCAAAACATGTCAAACATGACAGCAAGTTTTTTTTTTTTGTCGTCAGTGGTGGGACTTGGGCTTGGGCGCTGTCCCTGTGGTCTTCAGCTCAAGGCAAGTGCTCTACTGCTTGAGCTATAGTGCCACTTCTCGTTTTCTAGTGGTTTACTGGAGATAAGAGTCTCAGGGGCTGTTCTGCCCAGGCTGGTTTTGAACGTGATCCTCAGATCTCAGCCTCCTGAGGCAGAGTCACCGACGCTTGGCTCAAGTTTTTTTTGCCAGTCCTGGGGCTTGAACTCAGGGCCTGAGCACTGTCCCTGAGCTTCTTTTGCTTAAGGCTGCCACTCTACCACTTGACCACAGCATCACTGCCTGCTTTTTCTGTGTATGTGGTACTGAGGAATCAAACCCAATGCTTCACGCATGCTGGGCAAGCATTCTACCGCTGAGCCACCTTCCGGGCCCCTCAACAAGCTTTCGGAGTCCTTCCTGCTGAGTCAGTCTACTGCCAGAACCTGAAGACACCTCTCAACAGGTAAGCTTGTTTTCCTTATTCACTTAGAATACTGTGAAACTACAGACAATAAAAAAGAAAAATCTTATTTTTAGCCAGGTGCTGGTGGCTCACGCCTGTCATCCTAGCTACTCAGGAGGCTGAGCTCTGAGGATCATGGTTCAAAGCCAGCCCTGGCAAGAAAGTCTGTGAGACGCCTATCTCCAATTAACCATTAGAACACCAGGAGTGGCGCTGTGGCTCAAGTGGTAGAGCGCTTGCCATGAGTGAAAAAGCTTCTGGCTTGTGTAGTCTAAGCCCCTAAATAAACTTTAAAAATATTTTTTGTTTTGCCAATCCTGGCATTCGAACTCGGGGCCTGGTCGCTGTCCTTCTTTTGCCACAGCGCCACTTTTGGCTTTTTCTGTGTATGTGGTGCTGAGGAACTGGGCGCAGGGCTTGATGCATGCCAGGCAAGCACGCTACCGCTGAGCCACCTTCCCGGCCCCACGTTCCAGTCCTAAGTCTTGAACTCGGGACTGGGCGCTGTCCCTGAGCTGTTTCGCTCGAGGCTAGCGCTCTACCCCTTGAATCCCAGCTCCACTCCCAGCTTTTGAGAGCTTAACTGGGGTAGGCGTCTCAGCGGCTTCCCGCAGGGCGCTCAGTCTCCGGAGTGGCCGGCCGCAGCGCGAGCCAGCAGCGCCGGCAGCACCTCGGGCTTCTGACCGCCCCTTCCTACCGGCCTCGGAGCGCTCATCCCGGCAGGCCCGGTCCGCTCCCGGCAGAGGATCTCCTCAGGAACCGAGGCTCCAGTGCCCGAGGAGAGCCTCAGCGCAGGCCCGACGAGGCCGGTCGCAGCTGCCGGCCACCCAGAGAGGCCGCAGCCAGGCCCGCGCCCCCCCCCCCCGCCCCCGGCTGCGGCCCCCGGCGCGCCCGCCCGCTCCCCAGCACGGCGGCCCTCCCGCGGCGACGCTCGCCCGCACGCCCCCCCCCCCCGGCGGTCCTCCCGCGGCGACGCTCCCCGGCACGCCCCCCCCCCCGGCGGTCCTCCCGCGGCGACGCTCCCCGGCACGCCCCCCCCGGCGGCCCTCCCGCGGCGACGCTCGCCCGCACGCCCCCCCCCGGCGGCCCTCCCGCGGCGACGCTCCCCGGCACGCCCCCCCCCGGCGGCCCTCCCGCGGCGACGCTCCCCGGCACGCCCCCCCCCCCCGGCGGCGGCCCTCCCGCGGCGACGCTCCCCGGCACGCCCCCCCCCCCCGGCGGCGGCCCTCCCGCGGCGACGCTCCCCGGCACGCCCCCCCCCCGGCGGTCCTCCCGCGGCGACGCTCCCCGGCACGCCCCCCCCCCCCCCCGGCGGCGGTCCTCCCGCGGCGACGCTCCCCGGCACGCCCCCCCCCCCGGCGGCGGCCCTCCCGCGGCGACGCTCCCCGGCACGCCCCCCCCCGGCGGCGGCCCTCCCGCGGCGACGCTCCCCGGCACGCCCCCCCCCCCCGGCGGCGGTCCTCCCGCGGCGACGCTCCCCGGCACGCCCCCCCCGGCGGCCCTCCCGCGGCGACGCTCGCCGGCACGCCCCCCCACCCCCCCCGGCGGCCCTCCCGCGGCGACGCTCCCCGGCACGCCCCCCCCCCCCGGCGGCGGTCCTCCCGCGGCGACGCTCGCCGGCACGCCCCCCCCCCCCCCCGGCGGCCCTCCCGCGGCGACGCTCCCCGGCACGCCCCCCCCCCGGCGGCCCTCCCGCGGCGACGCTCGCCGGCACGCCCCCCCCCCGGCGGCCCTCCCGCGGCGACGCTCGCCGGCACGCCCCCCCACCCCCCCCCGGCGGCCCTCCCGCGGCGACGCTCGCCGGCTGCGGCGCCCCGGCCAGTCCGCTCTTGTGGACGCCCAGGGCAGCCGGCCCGGAGGAGACCACGGCGTGGGCCGAGGCCGGAGCGGCGCCGGGTCCCCACGCGGAAGCCCAGCCCACCTCGGGAGTGCCTGCGTGTGGAGACGGGGCGGCGGGCCCCGCAGCACAGCCCGCCCGTCCCGTCGGCTCGGTGAGGAAGCGAGGCGGGCGACGGCTGGGGAAGGCCGCCTTCCACGCGGAGCTCCCGCCCTCCGCCGCTGCCTCCTGAGCTTCCCGTCTCCTCCCTTCCCCCCCTCACCCCCGCCAGGACTGGTCGGCGCCCCCCACTTCCGGTTCCTCCCACCCGTCTCTCTCCGCCTCCTGACGTCACGCACCGCCCCTCGCATTTCACGCCCCCTCACATCACCGACTGGTCTGCGCTCTTTCGCCCCGCCCCTTCCCGTGTCGCCCCGCCCGGCGCAGGGGGGCCGGAAAGGGGAGGAGACGCGGCCCTCTCGGCGAGGCAGTGGCTCTGACTGGAGAACTGCGGGGGCGGGGGCGGGCTAGGCTCCCAAGCCGGCCATTGGCGGAGACTGCCGTTGCCCCGCCCCCGGTGCAGCGTCGCTGGACGTAGGGCACCGCGGGGGCTGTCGGGACAGGCCCAAGATGGCCGGGCACTTGTGTTCCGCTCCTGCCCGCGGCGCCCTGGCCCATTCATTGCTGCGCTGCTGAGCGGCGCCGCGTCGCGGTAGTGGGCTTTAGGTCGCTGGGGGCTAACCCGTGGGTCCGGAGGCCACCATGGCGACCCTGGAGAAGCTGATGAAGGCCTTCGAATCCCTCAAGTCGTTCCAGCAGCAGCAGCAGCAACAGCAACAGCAGTCGCCGCCGCCGCCGCCGCCTCAGTCGCCTCAGCAGCCGCCGCAGGCGCAGCCGCCGCCGCCCCCGCCGCCGCCGCCGCCGCCCCCGCCGCCGCCGCCGCCCGGCCCGGCCGTGGCCGACGAGCCGCTGCCCCGACCGTGAGTCCCCTGCGGCCCTGCCTCGGTGTGGGCTCCGCGGCCGCGCACCCCGGCCTGGAGGGTCGCCGCCCCTCCTGTGCCCTGACTCCCGCCGCGACGCTCCGCGTCCCCTGCCTGGGGTCCTCTGTCCGGAGCCCCTGCCTGGGGTCCTCTGTCCGGAGCCCCTGCCTGGGGTCCTCTGTCTGGAGTCCCTGCCTGGGGTCCTCTGTCCGGAGTCCCTGCCTGGGGTCCTCTGTCTGGAGTCCCTGCCTGGGGTCCTCTTTCTGGAGTCCCTGCCTGGGGTCCTCTTTCTGGAGTCCCTGCCTGGGTTCCCCCGTCTGGAGTCCCTGCCTGGGGTCCTCTGTCTGGAGTCCCTGCCTGGGTTCCCCCGTCTGGAGTCCCTGCCTGGGGTCCTCTGTCCGGAGTCCCTGCCTGGGGTCCCCTGTCTGGAGTCCCTGCCTGGGGTCTCCCGTCTGGAGTCCCTGCCTGGGTTCCCCCGTCTGGAGTCCCTGCCTGGGGTCCTCTGTCCGGAGCCCCTGCCTGGGGTCCTCTGTCCGGAGCCCCTGCCTGGGGTCCTCTGTCTGGAGTCCCTGCCTGGGGTCCTCTGTCCGGAGCCCCTGCCTGGGGTCCTCTGTCCGGAGTCCCTGCCTGGGGTCCTCTGTCTGGAGTCCCTGCCTGGGTTCCCCCGTCTGGAGTCCCTGCCTGGGGTCCTCTTTCTGGAGTCCCTGCCTGGGGTCCTCTTTCTGGAGTCCCTGCCTGGGTTCCCCCGTCTGGAGTCCCTGCCTGGGGTCCTCTGTCTGGAGTCCCTGCCTGGGTTCCCCCGTCTGGAGTCCCTGCCTGGGGTCCTCTGTCCGGAGTCCCTGCCTGGGGTCCCCTGTCTGGAGTCCCTGCCTGGGGTCTCCTGTCTGGAGTCCCTGCCTGGGGTCTCCTGTCTGGAGTCCCTGCCTGGGGTCCTCTTTCTGGAGTCCCTGCCTGGGTTCCTCCGTCTGGAGTCCCTGCCTGGGGTCCCCCGTCTGGAGTCCCTGCCTGGGGTCCTCTGTCTGGAGTCCCTGCCTGGGTTCCCCCGTCTGGAGTCCCTGCCTGGGGTCCTCTGTCCGGAGTCCCTGCCTGGGGTCCCCTGTCTGGAGTCCCTGCCTGGGGTCTCCTGTCTGGAGTCCCTGCCTGGGGTCTCCTGTCTGGAGTCCCTGCCTGGGGTCCTCTGTCTGGAGTCCCTGCCTGGGGTCCCCCGTCTGGAGTCCCTGCCTGGGTTCCCCCGTCTGGAGTCCCTGCCTGGGGTCTCCTGTCTAGAGTCCCTGCCTGGGGTCCTCTGTCTGGAGTCCCTGCCTGGGGTCCTCTGTCTGGAGTCCTGCCTGGGTTCCCCCGTCTGGAGTCCCTGCCTGGGGTCCCCCATCTGGAGTCCCTGCCTGGGTTCCCCCGTCTGGAGTCCCTGCCTGGGGTCCTCTGTCTGGAGTCCCTGCCTGGGGTCCTCTGTCTGGAGTCCCTGCCTGGGTTCCCCCGTCTGGAGTCCCTGCCTAGAGTCTCCCGCCCGGGTCCCTGCCTGGGCGCCCTCCGACCTTCCGCCCGGGGAGCTGATCCTGGTGGGGCCCGTCCGAAACCTGCTTGGGGAGTGGCGCCCCAGCCCTCGCTCCCTTCGCGTCCCGCGAAGTTGGGGAGTTCGCGGAGCTGCTCCGGAGCGCGGGAGGCCCGGCGATGACGTCATGCCGCTCGGCCGGGTGCTCGGGCCCGGGGCGAGGGTCCGGGGGCGGGGACGGTCGGGGGGGGGGGGTGCTCTGCCTCCCGCGGCGCGGCCCCGACCGGCATGGGGGCGAGGCTCTGAGCCGAGCCACTCAAGGACCGGGTAGAGCCGGCTGGGTCCGCCGCGCGCTCACCTCCAGCCCAGCGGCGGGAGCGCGGCGCGGGCGCCCGCGGGCCTGGGGCTGGCGGCATGTTGTGGCATCGAGGGACTCTGTGGGAGCCGGGGATCGAGAGGGACGGAGACGGAGACCGAGGCCGACGGGAGGGCAGGCGCGAGTGAGAGGAAGGAAGGAAGGAAAAGCAAGCGAGCCAGCAAACCGTTAGGGACTTGGGGCTGTTCCTGGCGGCCGGTGCGGGGCCGGCCAGCCTCCTCCCGCTGTCCACGGCTCAGGGGAGGCCTGCTCCCGCTGTCCACGGCTCAGGGGAGGCCTGCTCCCGCTGTCCACGGCTCAGGGGAGGCCTGCTCCCGCTGTCCACGGCTCAGGGGAGGCCTGCTCCCGCTGTCCACGGCTCAGGGGAGGCCTGCTCCCGCTGTCCACGGCTCAGGGGAGGCCTGCTCCCGCTGTCCACGGCTCAGGGGAGGCCTGCTCCCGCTGTCCACGGCTCAGGGGAGGCCTCCTCCCGCTGTCCACGGCTCAGGGGAGGCCTCCTCCCGCTGTCCACGGCTCAGGGGAGGCCTGCTCCCGCTGTCCACGGCTCAGGGGAGGCCTGCTCCCGCTGTCCACGGCTCAGGGGAGGCCTGCTCCCGCTGTCCACGGCTCAGGGGAGGCCTCCTCCCGCTGTCCACGGTTCAGGGGAGGCATGCCCGCTGTCCACGGTTCAGGGGAGGCCTGCCCGCTGTCCACGGTTCAGGGGAGGCCTCCGGAATCGTCTCTGAAGCGCCACCGGGCTTGTTTATGATTCTGATACAATCCTGGCTTCCTAGTGTAACTAGAAGCTAATGACCTGGGAAGTGGTGGCTTAGTTGATAGACTAAAATTTAGACTGTCTGTTTCTTCTAAAAGGTGGAGAACGTGTTTCAACAACTAGAGGAATTAAAAGTACATTTTGACTTATCTCTAGTCAGCGCACCCAGAGTCATAGTAGTGCTTCTCTGAGTAGGAGTGTTCCCGCATTGCATGTGTCTCCTGTAAACATTAAACAGGGCTGTGGACAGGTACAAGTAATACACTAATTATTCCTAACTTAGAAAAGGATAAGGACAATGACAGAGTACCTAACTCTGTTCCTAGTGCAGATGCTGTACTTGCACATTTTTCTGGATATAATCTGTGCATATGTATATTAAGATGTATATTTTTTGTGCTGGTATGGGACTGGAACTCAGGGCTTTGTGATCTGCTTGGCTTTTTTGCTCATGGCTTGGCACTCTACTACATGAGCCCTGTCTCCAGTCTGACATTTATACTGTTTAATTGGAGATGAGTCTCTTGGACCTTTCTGTCAGGCTTGGCTTTGAACTGTGATCCTAAGATCTCTGCCTCCTGAGTAACGAGGATTGCAGGCAGTGAATAGTTACTTTAAAATGCATAAATATCTACTTGATTATAAAAATTTGCATTTTTTATTATTTTAAGATGAATACATATATGCCTTTATTTTATACATATGTATGTTTCTGTGTAGTTTGCTGTTGAGAAAATAGGTGTTCATTAATCACAAGTAACTCACTGTTTGTAAGTTTAGATCTTGGCATTTTATTTGAATGTTTCAGCTGAAAAGTCCTTTTTCCAAAAGCAAGACTGGCCAAAGCAGTTTAGAAAGTGTCTGTTCTATTTTTATGGCTTTTGTTCTGTTGCATAGAACTGTAGTACCATATGCGTGGGCTTCTGTTGAAATAGCTGAGCGCCTGCTCTCTGCTCAAGATGTAGGCTGCAGTTCTGGGGTTGGCTAGCTCATCAAGCCTGGCATGCTTGGAGGGCCTAGTAGTCATTAAGAAGTAATTGAGAGCAGGGAACTGGTGGCTAATGCCTGTAATCCTAGCTACTCAGGAGACTGAGACTTGAGGCAGGAACGTCCATGAAACTCTTCAATAAACCACCAGAAAACCAGAAGTGGCACTGTGGCTCAAGTGGTAGAGCGCTAGCCTTGAGCTGAGGACAGCGCCCAGGCCAGAGTTCAAGCCCCATGACCCATGAAGAGAAAAGCAGCAATTGAGGGGCTGGGAATTTGGTTTAGTGGTAGAGTGCTTGCCTACCATGCATGAAGCCCTGGGTTCAATTCCTTAGTAACACATAAACAGAAAAAGCCAGAAGTGGTACCGTGGCTCAAGCTGTAGGGTGCTAGCCTTGAGCAAAAAAGAAGCTCAGGTACAGAGAGCACTCAGGCCCTGAATTCAAGCCCCAGGACTGGCAAAAAGAGAAAAAAGAAAGAAGCAATTGACATTTGCCTTTGACACTTTCTCATTCATCTTCAGAATCTCATCTCATTTTCCTCTGCTTGTAGTTATTCATCCCTACTGTTCTAGAGCAGGGCTGTGCAGGGACAAAGCTATGCCCGCATGAAGCTTTCATCCTAAGGAGGGTTGTGGATAGTAAGCAAGATAGATAAATAAAATACATAATAAATAAAATAAGTAAACATGTTAATAAAATATGAAAAGGATCAGCAAAGGAGGGAAAGGCACTAGGAAGTGTCAGTATTGATGTTTTGGACAGGATGTTCAGGGAATGTCCACTAAGATGATGGCTTCTGAGTAAAGACCTGAAGAGAGCCACATATATCGTATGAGGCTATATGAATAAGGGTGTTTCTTATATTGGGGAGGGGGGTTGCTAGCCTCCCTGTGTGAAGACTAGCAATTACGTTGGTCTCTTGTTGAAAACTAATTGTCCATAGTACATAGATTTTTTTGTGTTCCTGATCCTAGTCCACTGATATGTATGTCTATCCTGTGCCAGTACTATACAGTCTTGATTACTGAAATTTGTACCAGTTTCAGTTAATGAAATGTGAGTTCTCAAACTTGGTCCTTTTCAGGATCATTCAGCGATTTAGAGCCCCCTGCATTTTCATATCAGTTGTAGAATCAGTTTGTCAGTTTCTACAAAGAAGCCCACTGGGATTCTGGTTGAGATAATATTGAATTTGTATATAAGTTTGGAAAATGATGATGTTTTAAGTCTTCCCGTCCACCAACGTTGGCAAACATTATTATTATTATATTATTATTATTACTATTTTGTCCGTTGTGCTGCCTTAACTCTAGGCCTGGGCGCTGTCCCTGAGCTCTTCAGATCAAGGCTGCTCTACCACTTGAGCCACCATTCCACTTCCAGTTTTCTGGT